AAACCAGACATGTATGCACGAAACGCCGATATACTGAAATATAGGTTTATCTCTTTAATCGGTCAAAATTTGTGTGAAAGGAGATGTGTAACTAGTTTATTAATTCTTTTATTTAGCAATGAGTACGATATCCCATGTGAAACTGAACAAACATTAAGAAAAGAGAAAAAAAAAAGGCCGATATGGAAGATATATCGGTCTTTTTAATACCGGAATCGGCCAAAATTTCGATATCGGTCCATCTCTAGTTACAACGGATGATAAGCAACCTGGAAGGTTATTGCAGAATATGGAATCTGCAGATAAACCTGGAAAAAATTAAAATAATAGTTTTCCGCAATGGAGGCATGTTATCCAAATTCAAGAAGTGGAAATTCGGAGGAAAGCCAATTGAGGTTGCCAACGAATATAAAAATATCGGAGTAACAATTACCTCAAGATTGTCGTTGGAGGCGTCATTTAGCGGATTGAGACAGTCATGTAAAGTTTGTATTGAACTCTGCTTGCCATAATTTTATGGCTTATAAAAATGTCCCCTACACAAGTAAATTAGAAGTATATAAGGCAATCTCACGGGCGGTAGTTACCTATTCTGGGCAGGTTTGGGGCTTCGAGCAATTTGATGCATTAGAAATTTGAAAAAAAAAAATTTTATTCCTCCTGAGTTATATACCTAATTATATTTTGGCGCATAAGACGGGTATCGCCTCTATATACGCTTATAGGCTAAAAATACATTTTGATCATATTTTAAAAGTTCTGGTTTTGCCTAATTTCGGTTTACCACACTTTCTAGCAAAATAAGTGATAATAAAATTTATTGGTACCGGAATAGGTTATAATTAGAGGAATTTTATCATACTTATCAGGCTTGATACTTCTAATACCGCCGATCTACGTGTAAATTTGATCGCAGTTAAACATATGGCTGAGGAATGGGGAAAAAAACACAATATCGGAAAATGTCTGCACTCCAATTTTTCTGTGATTAGTGTATATCCAGGTTTATGTGATTTTACCACTGTATCACCCTATCTCAATGACAGTTTTGATCTTGTATCGATGTAGATCGATTTTTCGATGTAGGACGGAATTACTTAATTTAAGCGTTAAACCGTGGGGGCAGGAAGGCAATGATGATTGTCCGGTTTGTAATTCCGGGAGAAAAGAAGACACCATGCACTTCCTAGAGTCCTGTCATGTCTACAGTGAGATTAGAGAAAAATATTTTAGTCGGCAGGCATGTTTTCTGAAGGAATTATTTAGTGAATTGAGAAGTGCTAATTGGAAAGCCCTAAGTAAGTAAGTACAGCAAGTCACATTACAAAGAGCCCCCAACTTGTCACTTCGTGAATGATTATTGGAATGCCTTATTTATTTGTTATGAATAGAATTTGCTTGTTACTGTAGTACTATTCATTATTTATTATAAAACGTACTCTCACTGTAAAACAGGGAAATTATTTTAAAATGTTATTAATAATAATTTAAAAATATTAAAACCATCCGAGGCGTCTGAAAAGAAGATGGCCTCGGGATCTTCTAATATAGAACTTTAATTTGAGTTCTACCAATGGGTAGTTTCTCTTCATGTTGTACATGTCATGTTACCAATTTCACATTTACTTATTGTATTTTCTATGTAATACAGTTGTAAATTCCATTAAAATAATAAAAAAATAAAATAAAAAATATTATTGCTCATTAATTTGTTAAGGATATAAAATGGAACATATTTTGTAGAAAGACTACATAGACTTCGACAGATGGAAGTTACCATTGTCTATGTGTCCAAATAACTAAGTCCCACAAAATGGTCCGCGCGTGTGTGTGTGTGTTAGCAATCTAGCTCAAAAACGAAATGTCGTAAGAAAGTGAAATTGCATATTTAAAGTTTTTATAAGCCTGAGATGTTGCAGCAACGTTTTCATCAAAATTGGCTAACCGGAAGTGTCATTTTATATGATCGATGTAACACATTTTTACGATGTTCTCAAAAACGGCTCAAATGATTTTTATTACATTCATGATGTAAGTGTATGATTAATAGCAGTTTTTAATACAATATAGGTTTTATTCTTATTGATGTTCTCTGTCAGGGGTTAAATGGCTAATTGTCAATATTAGCTTCCTCTAAAGTACCTTTATTTTTTTTATTTGAACAATTAACCATTTCGTATTGATTCCTGTAATAAAAAATAGTTAAATATAAAATATGAAAGAATTAGATAATTAAATAAAGGAAAAATAAGAGATTGTAACGGAGAATAGTTGTAACGAGGGAACAAAAGGAATACGAGCGCGCCCGAGCTCTCCCAAACAGGCTCCGTACGTAACATGAGCATAATATAATATGGAGTCCAACAACAGTACGTACAAATACATAAATGATTTTCATAAATGTTATCGTTGGAATTATTTAATATTTAATGGTATGGATTACAAAAAATAAGATTTGTACATATATGGGTACTTAAACATATAAAAATACCCACAATGAAATCTAAATAAATAAGGCGTCAATAATTTTTACTTTCACTTCCCGTTTGTCCAATAATACTTATTTCTGCAAAGAAGGAGATGGTAAGTGAAAGTTGTGTGATGAGCGCATCGCACCAGATATTTTTTCTCAATAAATTGAAGCTCCAAATTTCAAAATGAACCATTGAAGAAATATGAAAGAGGGCAGCGTAATTACAGGGTTGTCCAGAAGGAGATTGTTAGCCGTTGTTTGGGTTTTATTTGAAGATACTTTCAAAGCAGAGAGCGAGGAGAAACACGGGACAGACACAGCAAGAGTAGGTATATGCTCCACAATTTTTCCATTTCTAGTTTGACTTGCGCCACTGGCGGATCCAGGATTTAATTTTGGTGGGGGCTTCAGCCCGAAACATTTTTTTTCATATATATATATATAACGATAATTAATTTGAGAAAAAAAAAGAAAGAAATGAACTACCTATATGAAATGGTGTTTAAGTGATTCTTGAAGTCCTATTAAATGTAATTACACGAACAAGAATGCTTTAAGAGATAGTTCATAATATTTTTTTCTATAAAATATGGTTATATTTTACGGTTTTGGGGGAGGCTTCAGCGGGAAAGCCCCCCCCCCCTCCCGTAAATCCGCCTGTGACTTGTGCTGGTTTTATGAAGAGGAGAGCAATAAAATTTCTTGTATGGGGTGCGCCATTGGTCTTATATTTTATTATGCTTTTAGAAATAAATCTTTTGTATGTAATTTCATTCAGTAGCTGTCTATGATTATATATGTAGTTATATAATAGTCCCTTTTATTTATTTTACTTATTTTTTTTTCCATTACACAAGTATTCTAAGATTTTATTTTATCTTAGTGTCTGCATATTATTATATAAACCACTGTAGATATTATTACATTTTGTATTAAGTTAGTTTTCTATTAGATAGCCTATTGTTTATAAATTGTGTAGTTATGTATATATAAATATATAATTTCTCTTCTTTTTTTTTCTTTTTTCATCACAATTAAATAATTTTAAGAAGATTTTATGTTCATTTGTATATATATTTTATTTTTTATTTTTCACTGGTTACATACTTTTTAAATAATGTATATAATATTAAAATTTTTATAAGTTAGTTTTTGGCCAGATTTGTACTTTACTTTGTATTAACTCAATATTGTTATTCTAAAGGGATTGTTATTCTAAAGGTCCCAGAATAAAGTTTAAGTTTCTATTCTATTCTATGTTTTAGCTGTATGTACTATAATTTAAAAACAGTACATGTTGTGATAAATTAAGTATTTCGCTTAGATCATTCACAGAAACATTATGAACAGGGCAAACATTATTTTGGAGGGCTTTATCCCGAAAGCCCCTTTCTCCTTGAATCACTAGCGGATCCAGGATTTAATTTTGGGGGGGCTTCAGCCCGAAACCTTCTTTTTTCATAAAAATAACGATAATTACTTTGGAAAAACAGAAAGAAACTAACTACCTATATGAAATGGTGTTTAAGTGATTCCTTAAGACCTTTTAAATGTAATTACACGAACAATAATACTTTAAGAGGTATTTTTAAAATTTTTTTTTCCATAAAACATGGTTGTATTTTTCCATTTTGGGGGGAGGGGGCTTCAGCCCGAAAGCCCCCCCCCCCCCGTAGATCCGCCCGTGCCCTGAATCCATCAGTGTGAGGACTTAGCCGAAGTGTCCACATAAATATGTTTACGATGAAACATTTTTATAACTCGCTAAATTAAGATGTAGATTCATGCTAAATTATATCTGTACAATGAAACACATAATTAATCGTCTTTAATTACGTATTAAAAAAATGGTTGAATAGAATATATCTGCTCCAAAGACAGAAAATATTTTACAAATTAATTACTATACATACCTTTACATTACGCCTTATGTTTCTTTTGGAAATAATTCTTTCATATGGATGTAAAACATCTATATAGGTTACAAGTAAATTATTGAAACATCGAAATAAATACTTTTGACTTCAAGAAAAACTAATCGGCTTCATAACAAATTACAAAACTGCGCTATTAGTAGTTATTACAAAACACATAGTTATTACGAAAAACCACAGTACTAAAAATAATTAAAATGGAACCACTGATATTAATTCAATATTCATAAGAAACTAAGAATGCTTAAGCACTATGGCCAACCACCATCTAAAGGAATCAAGACAAGCAAAAATTATAATTAAAAAAAAAAAAAACTTTATTGAAGAAATAAAACTATTTCTATGGTATTTAGTTTAAAAGAAAAGTAAAACGATTACTTTTACTAACTGTTTGAATTTTAGTTACTTATATTAAAATAGAGTCGCATTAATAAAAATATTAATTTATCGTTGAAGGGGGTAAAACCAAGAGATTTATTGTTTACAACAACAAATAAAATGTCTACGATGCAATACATGACAAACTAATTGGAATTCTACGGTTTTGATATTATAAATCTTACCGAGATTATTTAGTGTAGGCGGTGAGATTTGAGATATTAAAAAAAGATCGCAGGTCATTAAACATCGCGTTGGAAGAAACATAACCTTAGATAAAGAACATAAAGGTAACCTCTGAGTAAACACCAACACATCAGCTGCTTGGAGTCAGTATAGCGTACCTGATAAGATGTAATGTGAATATTTGAATTATATGAAGTCTTTAAATACTTCTTAGAGCGACGTTTACGATAGCAGCGTTTTTAATTTTTTCTTTTTATATGCAGTTCCTGGTAAAAAATATGTTTTTAAGAAAGATCTTCATAATAAATTTCCTAGTTAAAGAATGTGTTTTTAGTTAACCTTTCTGTAATATTCAATGTTGAAATGTATTCAGACGAATCCGATGATACTTCTGAAGAAGTAGATGTTTATAGAAAAAAATACAGGCTCATTACGGAAAGATGTGAAGTTATTCAACAGGTAAGTTTTAGAACATGAGTTATTTTTTGCAATTTTGTTTCTGATTTTCCATAAGTTCAGTTGCGAAAATAGTTTATTGGTCTCCACATCCAGTATCGTACCTAATAACTTGGTAATTTGTGTGAATTCATTTTATTTCATCATAGTTGGATAAACAGAAACACTAGTTGGATAAATAGAAAAACTATTGGTGAGGAAGAGAAAGGTTTTACTCAAACAGATCCCTGGACACTGAACTACACGGTAATGACATGGTAGATGTTTTAACAAAAGGGAATACAAGGAAATTTCTGGTGGAGAATAGGATAACGTATTATTAAGAAGAGAAAGAATTAGACAAATTTCTAGAGGAACGAACCATTGTTGTTTTTATTTTATGTTGAGCTGTGTTACTTCAGGAAGATGGGTATGTTATCCCAATAAATGAAAAGACAGTTGCAGAATTCAGAATGGTCACTGAATGTAATTATTTAAAAATACGTCTACATAAAATAGGAGTAGCAGAATTTTATTACTTTGATCTGTGTAACAGTGAAATTTTAAATTGCTAACATTGGCTTTATTGATGTATAAATTCTAAGAATACCACAGCAGTTAAATCAACGTTTGTCGCCTAATATTTGGAAATATATTTAGAAATTTAAAGTTTATGTTATTCAGTAGCTCTCACTAGATATTCTTATTACAATTTATGTTAGCATTGCTGTTTAGACCCTAGTTAAGCAAAGTTATTTTATCTCCTACAAAAGATGAGTGTTTTAAAGTGTTTTACAAAGTTAAAAAAGGAGCTACTCATTTCTTTAAAAGGCAATTCATGCATCATTCCATACTATATTTCTTGTGTATATATATATCTTTTCTTTTTAAAGGACAATGAGCGCCTTGTGAATCGAATACATCATATCAAAAAAATGTTAAGGAGAAGAAGGAAAGAAAGGAAGTAAGGATGTACAAATAGTTTGATTATAATTAATAGAATCTTAATATTGTTTTATTTATTTTCAATTTCTAATTATTTTTATTTTATACAGATTTTTGATGGATAGGTTAGATATGCATAGGGACAACTGGAGGAATATTCCTTTATCATTAAAGTTGGAAGATACTTCTGAACAATCAGCTGCTTCTAAACCAGCGATTTTTAAATTATCTAAAGTAAATTTCTTGTCTTATTATAAAATTCAATAATAATTGTGTTATTAAAAACAGTATCTGTTTTTTTTTTAATTTATTTTTTTAACCAGTTGAGAAACTTAATAATATCATAATGATGATATCTTCATAAGGAAATTTATATTCATTTTCAGACATAATGTGTATATTGTGATTGCAAAGGTTTGACCCAAGCGTGTGTGGGTCATCATCAGAGATGAAATCAAAATTAAATCATCAGCAACCATAATAAACATATTATGACTGAAAATTTTAATAATTCATCGTTCAAGTTAAATATATTTGGATATTGTTTATGTTTAGTGTTATGATCATATTTTTTTCTAGGGAAATGCATCAGGTGAAAAGCATAAAAAAATTATTAAAAAGAAAATTCATAAGGTCGATAAAAATGCTCCTAAGCGGCCAGCTAATCCATACTTTCAGTTCTGTCAAGAACAGAGAACGTCAACTATAGAAGAAATGACAAGTGCGGGGCAATCAGAACCCAGCAAAATAGATGTTACCAAACACTTAGCTTACAAGTGGAATTTGCTCACACAAGATGACAAAAAAGTAATGTAATGAGTTATTAGACTGCAGGTATACAGGTTGGCACAAAAAAAAGAAAAAACTTATTTTTTTCCTTTACTCGTGTTAATTTGAAAGTACAAATTTGAAACTTGTTACTTAAGTACACCACAATGTACTTATTAGTCATTGAGAGATCTTGAGAATGATACTCATTCCAGTAGTAATGAGGTTAGTTTTAGTAGTAAGTTTTTGTTAAAAGTATTTGTGAGTAGCTATTTATTTGTATGTCTTAGAATTACCTTAGTGCTAATATCGTTTGATTTTCTATAATCCTCAAAACATAGTATTGGTGAATAGATATAAGTTACTATGTATTGATATATGTTCAAGTTTATGATTTTAGACTCTGTAAAATGAAAATGATCACGATTTGTTAAGATGACCAGACAAATTCAAATGAATTTTAATTAAAATCCAGTGTTAAAACAGTTTTATTCTTGACCCCTATTTCCCCTTTGTAACTTCAGTAGCTCTCCAACTATTCCGCATGTCATCTCAACCCCTAAAAAATATATAAAATTCAACTACCAAGAGTTAATCTGATCATTTTATGATTTAGAATTTAAAAAAAAAGTTTAATTGCTTATTTAGTTTTTTTTAAATTTATCACTAAAAGTATTATATTGTAATTGTCCTAGTTATCCTTTCTGATAACTATGACAGTTATGATGCTGTAGTTAGTTACCAAATCAATGATTTTTAATTTGATTCTATCCTTTCTTTAGTATCTTAGTAAAACAGTTACACTGTTTCTCTTTCTAGAATATTGCTATATTTATTTTTATTTTGGAAAGCCTGGAGAGAGAAAGTTCCAATTTGTTGTTAGAACTATTTAATCAAAGACTTCTTCTTCTTCTTTCACTACAACTCAGTGGCGAGTCAAGCCTTCCTGCCACATCAACTGCCATTCCTCTCGATTTGCTGCCACTGCCTTCAAGTTCCTTACACCCAAGATGGACCATGCATCCTCCCCCAGCTCATCGGCCCACCACACTCTCGGCTTGCCAATTCTCTTCTCTTACCGTACAGGCTTTCTTCCAAAAGTCTCTTTGGGACCTCATCATTTGTCATTTGAGCAACGAAGCCTTCCAAATCCTCGAATCTTAGGAGCATTAGTTCTTGAACTTGTGAGATCGTCAAACATTCAGAAACGTAGGTCAGAACAGGCCGTATGAGGATCTTATAAAGCTGCACTTAGATGTTGCGTGAGGACATTTACTTCTAAAATGTTTTGGGAGTCTGAAATCGCATCTGGTTGTAGCCATTAACCATCTATTAATTTCTTGTTGCGTATTATTGTCAGAGTTCATTTGAGAGCTTAAATAAATAAAATAGTTCACACACTCAAATGTGAAGTCTCTGTTTTTTATGTGGGCATCCTGCAGGATCTAATGCTTGTAGACGTGTTCTCATATACTTAGTTTTTGACTCATATTAAACAATTAACAGGTAAGGCTGTCGCTCTGCCTAAGGCCCTTGTATGTTTCAAAATCCTTAGAAAATCCTCCACCTACCTGAATAGCACTCTCCACCTTCAAATCAAAGACCAAAATCTTTTAAATGGTTACCTCAAGTTTACTTATAATGATATACTCCATAGAGATGGGGCTCTTCAAAAATATTTAATAAAATAATTTTAATATCATTAAAGTCGTAAAAATAATTACAAACTTAATGTTTCATAAGAGAGAGGAAAAAATTATAAAAAAAAAAAATTCTGGGAGATCACTTTTATACAAAAACAACTGAATTAACTGACCTAAAGATGAAAACAGTGAATCATATTGTTTCTATTGATTACTTGTTTTGATAAATTAAAGAACTAAATTTTACAATTAGGAAGTCTAATCTAAGTTAGGGAGGAAGTCTAATTAGAAACAATCATGACAGAAAAAATGTGGGGTTTGATCTCTTAAAAAGCATTTGTAGATATATAGGGTAACTTAATCACTATATATCTACATTAGATTATGAACTAACTTAATCACTATAATTAACAACAGATTATATTAAACATAGAATAGAAAATTGAACTTTATTCTGAGACTAAGTCTCCTTAGAATAACTGTGATCAATAAATACAAATCTGGCCAAAAACTAACTTCATATACATTAATTTAAAAAATAAAAGAACATAAAATCTTCTTATAATTACAAATTAATAAAAATTAAGTTTCTTTATCGCAACAGCTAAAATAATAACTTTTTTTAACCCATTCAACATGGTGCCTATTGCCATACTATGTAATAAATCTAAATCTTTTAATTCAAACAGGTATTGCTATTTGACATAAAGTAAATTTTAAAATATTACAAAATTTCCTTAGATTTTTTCACAAAAATTAAGTTAAATGTCATAAGGTGGTTCTTCGATGGTTAGCGTATATAAATATCACATTTACTTACTAATTAAATCCTAATATTCTATTTCATAATTTAAATTCTGTAATGACTACCTTTTAATTATTTTTTTTATATTTTCAGTTTGTTGTAAAAAGTGATTAAGTAGCATTTTAGAAAATTAGGTCACTTAAGTGCCTTATTTAATGAATTTACTCTGGGAAACTGAAACATTATATCAGTATTTTTAACTTATAATAGGGTTGATGTGTTTGTTGACATTTATAAATATGATAAAATTTCAAAAATATCTACATAATGGTTAAGTTCCATCAAGAGTGTACTTAGAGACCTTTTGTAATGAACTGACAATATGTTTAATTAATTTCAGGAAAAATAATTAAAACACCAATTACACGTGAATCATATATTTAAATAATTTACTTATACACACACATAAAGATTAACTAAGACCTCCAATATGCCATAGATAAACAGAAAATCTCTATCCTAATCCTTTTTGACTTTTCCAAAGCATTTGATTCTGTCAATCATGAGATTCTGCTTCCCAAACTCCAAAGCCTGCCTATATCAAATAGTGTCCTAAAATGGTTCCTCTTCTTCTTATCCTATCGATCTCAGGTAGTCGTAATTCTGAACAAACCTCCATCATCTCCCCTTTAATTAACATGACTCGCGGTGCTGTGCACACGCGTTAGCCCATTCGGCCACCCTGCCCCCTACAAACTCATGAACTGTTTCATAAGATACATCTTTGGGATCCCCAAGCATTCCCATGTTACATTCTGTTATACCGAGTTTAAGTGGCTTTATCCTACTTCCCGACGACAATGTCTCCTTAATGTTTTCCTTTTTCAAGTCCTCAGAACCAAAAATCCTCCCTACATCCTGGAACTCCTTACTCTACGTTCCTCTATCCACTCTCTCAATAACAGGTCTCAACCAATAGATTTATATATCTTCTCCAATAAAACTGCTTCCTTCAGCAAATTCTTTGTCGTTTGTACTATCTCCTTGTGGAACTCTCTACCTAGCTCCATACATCAATCCTGTAAATTCCTTCAAACAACTCCTCTTCCACCACCTACTCCATATTCAAACTTCCGCAAATATGTAAAATTGACTTGAGTCTGTACTGTTTAATTCAATCAACTGTACAATAGCAATAACAATCAACAGTTAATTAGGCATCATTTTGTATTCATCTAAGCCAGATTATTATTCTTAATTATGTAACTCTGTTATCATTCTTAGGGGACTTTAGTCCCAGAATCAAATTATTTTTTCATTCATACACATCTATATTTATAAATAATATTTACTCATCAGGATTGGTGTTATTTATTTTACGATAAGAGCTAAGGATCAGAAATTTGACTACTTTATTTTATTAATGTAAATAATAACTTCATAACTAAATTATGTTTGGAAGAATAATGAATATTAAGTTAATTAATACAACAATTAAGTGGTATTAAGTATTAATGCAAGATAGGCGGTTCACCTACCTAAATTTGAGGACTTATATCTTCCTATCCCTGGAGGCTTTTCCTAAACTATAACCAGCCCTGGTTCTCAAATCTATCTGAAAATTCTACACTGGCAAGGAAGTCATCTCTGTACAACTGGAGTGCACAGAAAAAACTTAAATAATGATTGGATGAGTGCACCTGTGCGTCCATGGTTATCAATGAGTTAAGATAATTTCTGATCAAGAAGTCATTGTTTTTTATTTATCTTAATCGCTAGAAGAAATGTTACTTTAAATGAGAAACAAGCAGTTATTGGGACTGGATTACAAATATGATCTTTAATGAATTGCCTGATTCTCTTATTCAGAATTTATTTACTATACAATTACTATTTTTGAAATTTACTTTGGGCGAAACGAATTGCTTTTACAGAATTTCTAAAGAATAAAAATTGCTATAAAATCTTTAATTACAGGGGAGAAAGTGCTGCTTCTGAAATAACATAAAACAATAAAAATAAAAATAAATCCAGTCACATTGGAACTGAAAAATGACATAAATATTTATATTCAACTTTTCATAAAGTTTATTACTTTGAAGAAAATATATTTTTCCCTTATTTGCTTCATAAAACGTTATTTCATTTTTAAATTTTGATTACGTTTTGGGCAATTTTGTCCATTTTCAAGGCAAAAATTATATCTACAATATAAATAACATTATTATAAATATAACTTTTCATTCCCAGTCCTGATATATTTAATTAGTTAGTACTAATCAATATTCTTATTTAGTTTTGTTTTTAAAATTACAGGGAATGAGATTATGAGTGATTTAATTTTTAAATCAGTCTCATAGTTAACATTGTGGTTCTAATTTATTTTAAGCTGTAATTGAACTCTGATAATCCGCATAAATTTGTGTTGTACCAACCTCTATATCTTTAAATCATTACTATGATTAATGTAAAGTAGGTATGATAAAAAAAAAAAACAGCATAAATCTAAATATTTCTTCATTTTCAGATTTATTACGACATGTATAAAAAATCGAAGGAACGATATAAAGCAGATATGCAACTGTATACTACATCAAAAAGTAATTGAGAGAATATTTATTTTGTTTACATTTGTAATGTAACATTTATTTTTATTATTGATTCTTTATATTTATGTAATGAGATATATTTATACAGAGAATTTACAACTATATTTTCTTATATGTCATTGAATTGTACATAATAAACTATTTTCAAATTAAAGAAATAATTTTTTAGTATAAAATAATTTTAACAAAATAACAAAAAATATATAAAAGTTATTGCCACTTACACCCCACTCAATAGATATATTTTATAAATTACTATTACATATACAGCTTAGGACTTGTATTGTCCTTCTTTTTACGAATATCTTTCATGGTACCAATAGCCTCAGATCTTCCAAAGCTAGATTGGATATTCTCGTCAATTACTCTCATGAAAGGGTTATAAGACTTTTCTTCTCCTAGAAATAATAAAATAAATAAATAAAATTAATTAATAACTGATAACTAGAACACCATTATTCTTTACAATGGATAAATAATAGCAAAACAAAAAAAAAAATTCTTTTATTATGTTTTCAAATTATTAAAACAGGGTGTCTACCCGATAGGGAACATCAGCAATTTACAGGAAATCCAGCAAAGTTGTCTCTTAAGTACGTTCCTTCAATTTCAATGAAAGGATACCTAATTTAGTCCATTAAAAGAATAAAACAGACTTCTCATAAGAGTATATCTGAATAGAAACATATAAATATGTTCAGCCTAGCCCTAACCTTTCTGTAAGACAGTAACAGGAGTTAATTTAGTTACAGCTTTAAATCGTCTTTTATATCACGGTTTTAATTATTGTAACTTTTGTAATAAACCAAGAAAAAAAATTAACCTCCTCCCCCAAAATGAGTCTTTACATTTCAATACATGTATATCGAATCCAAATAAAAAATTATGCATTCGTGGAAGTTTTCTGAAAACTACCACCATGATAAACATAATTTTTTTTTAATTGTTAAGCAAAGCCTAATTAATTTAGGAATATCTATTTGAAAATAATAAAATGTATAGTATTGTATAATATGAGGTTTGCATGCTTGTAAAATATTTCATAAAAAAGCCGGAATTTTCCTAAAAATTCTTGAAAAAGTTCCGAATTTCAATTACCAAAATAGGAAATACCATGTTAAAGCACAAACATGAGCAGACAAATAATATAAGAAAAAGATTGAATACTTACAATATTTGCATAAGCGTTAATTTTTGGTTAGATGTCTTAACCAACCAACAAGTGACTTATAATATAAGAGGTTATATCTTATTTTGCTTTAAGTAATAAAAAAAATTTAAGTAATAATAAAACAACTTTAAGTACCAATTGTTGAGGGCACTGTTGGTTTATTGGCACTTCTAGCTTGTACAGCCCACTCCAGCTTCGTTGAAAGTGCAGGATTGTTTGGTTCAATTAGTTTTGCGAATTTCAAATTTTGAACAGTGTATTCATGGCCACAATAAACTTTCTACAAGACACCAAGCAAATTACAAAAATGTATTAAAGCAATAACTCAAAAGTAATATATCATATATTATATTATGACAAAATATATCAGTTTCAGATGTGATATTCAACACCAAGTTCACATAGGATTCATAAAACACTCTGCTACTACAATTATTGAACTGTTATTAATAATTTATGGATCAACAGAGATTTTCCCAAAAGTTGGTCACTGACAACTATAACCCCCATATTTAAATCTGACAAAGACCCTAAATTAATTCAAAGTTATAGGCCTATCGCTCTCACTTCCATTCTATGTAAGTTGGCTGAGAAAATGGTAAATTGTCGTCTCTTGTGGGAATTAGGAACCCGGACAGTACTCGATTCAGAACAATGCAGATTTCGAAAATCCAGATCAACATTGCACTATTCAAATTTAACTCCTTCTTAAAATCATCTTTTGATCAGAAATAACATGTTTTTGCAATTTTCCTTGATCTTGAAAGTGCATTTGACTAATACTGAAGAATAAAAATTTTAGAATCTTTAAATATAATGGGTCTTATCAGTAACATTGTTTCTTCTATAAAAAATTTCCTTGGGGATCGAAAATTCAATGTTCGCGCGGGGTCAGTTTTTTTAGATAACTCTGACTTACACAATGGAGTTCCTCAGGGATCTATTATAAGAACTACACTTTTTAACATTGCTATTAATGATCTAAGAAATTTCATACCAAAACCAGTTAGTTGGCCTTGCGTTATACACAGATGACGTTTCGATTTATTACAGCTCTACCAACATTAATTAACTTTGGTCAATCTGTAATGCAGGAAACTCTTCACAATCTAGAAAAATGGGCTTCCAGTAGTAGCTTTAGCTTTAACCATAATAAATCAACCGCTGTACATTTTTGTTCACTTCATAGATGCGCCCAATCATTTTCAGTAAGCCTACAAAATCGTCAATTAAACAAACACGACTCTATTTGATACCTTAGAGTTAGTTACCTTTGATTCATTACTTTCTTGGAAAGCACATGTCGATGAACTATTGTCCAAATTGTCAAAAAGATCAATGTAATCAAGGTATTCTCCAGTACAACTTATGGCAGCAATAAAGTGAAGACAATTTATGAAGACAGACTACCACTGCCTCAAGTAATAGGGAATCATCAGGAGCAAACTATAACATATAGACTCAGAATAGGACACACTAGGTTGACCCACGGGCATCTCCTTGAGGAGAAGCCTTATCCTAGATGCAGCAGCTGAAACACAACCTTGACCATCGAACATATACTGGAAAACTGTTAGCGCTTGTGTTCTTCAAGAATTTCGCTAAGACTCCGGAGCTACCGCCAAGTTTTGCAACAGGAAAACCAGAAGAACTTGGTGAAATTTTTTAAGGACAAAAAACTGTATAACCTGATTTAAATTATGTGACAGTAACACGGTGCCTAACCTTTGCTGTTGTACATGGCACCTTAAATTGTAACTAAATAAAGAGATGTGATATTAGTAAAATAGTAGTCATTTTTTTTTTCATTTTGATGTAACGATGTGCTAATTCTAACAGTAGCCCATTTTATAATTCACCTTTTAACAAGTTTAAGTTTTTAAAAAATTAAAAACTTTAAACAGTTGCTTAATGTCTAATCTTCCTGGTCCTTGCCACTTAATGGCCAAAGATTTTTGACTATACCAGGTCTGGAGGACTTATAGTTCAGGAACTAGGTGTAAAAACAAAAAAAAACTTACTTAATTATATTTCTTTTGACTATATCATGAATACCAGCGTTTCCAGTGTGTAACTAGCGCAAAAAGAACTTTCTTCTCTCTCTCAAAGATATTGAAATCTTAAACTAAGGGTATACAATGTGCAATAAAACCAGTTTTGATATATGGCTGTGAGACCTGGACACTAACCAGCACCCTAGAAAAAAGTGTTGAAAGATTTGAGAGGGAAATCAGAGTACTAAGAAAAAACATGGAGAAGAAAGACCAATAAAGAACTGCTCACAGAAACTGGTCAATCAATATCCCATGATATTAAGGCAAGGAGATTAAGATGCGAAGCGCATTTAGCTCTTAGCAATCCATCTGATAGCCTCTCCGTAACAATGAATCTGCATGTGAATAATGAAAAAGCAAAAGACCACTTGGAAGGTCAAAAAGCAGATGGATAGATAGAATCAACAAAGCTGCCTGCAGATAAATAGAAAGAAATAGCCCAAGACAATATATTAATGATAAAATTTAATTATTCTATCATACCGTCTTATCAGGAAGCGAACTTAATTTTCCAATTAGAGCATCACACATCATTTTTGCGTCACCTTCAAAAAATTTTCCACATCCACCAATAAATAAGGTGTCTCCTGAAAAGTAAAATTTTGATTGTCACTATATATTAAAATGATAAAATTATGTTAATAATATTAATTTATTGTAACTGATCACTTTTTCTTTTTAATATTAAAAAGATATCTTCTAAAACTAGTAGTGATATGTTTAGCTCATCATGTGCCTAAGTGCATGTCACACTGCTCATCATCCCGCATTGATCTTTGATTTACAGTGAAGCATGGCATGACTGGGATCTGACAGTGTTTTCTATACCTTCTGGAAATGTTGAAATTTCGAGAAGCTAATTCATGGATGATCATCCTTATTTTGGATGTTATGGAGGAGCAAAATGTGAGAAAATATAAGTAGATTTATCAGGCTTATGTTAAGACATTACATATAGATCATACAAGATATTTTATAATATTATTAGTTGAATGATTTAGTTCTATATACTCTTAAATCCATTTTTTTTTTATTACTATTGTATCAATCTACATGACTTTCACACTTAAGAATAAACCTGAAGACAGCTTGACATTGGCAACAAGTTGTGATAAGAAATAAAGCCTAATATCAACAGCTTACAACTGAAACCTAGAGAGTCCAATTCACTAAAATACTGAAATCTTCCAAGTAACCAATACTCACTCATTTATTTTAACACTTTTAATGTGTTATCTGATGTATTAATAATAACAATGGCTTTATATCCTAACCATCCTCTCATATAATGCTAGGTCTCCTCTCCCTCTTGTCCTGTAGAGCCTTCCATTTAGCAACTTTTGTAGAATTCCTTCTTCCATGATTCTGGATATGTACCCAGACCAATGTCATTTTCCAAGCTTGATGTGCCACATCAATACCTCATACAGTTCCTCAAGATATATTCCGTGGATCTGCTACAAAATAAATTTCAACCTGCCAAGACAGGTTTTGAAACAACTTCATTAGATGCAAGAATACTGAAGTCTACACTTCAACATGATCAGAAGACCCTTCTGGGGCACACACAGTCTCTATAAAGTGGGTAATATAAGTTAAATAACTAATTAATAGAAAAACATAGCGGTTAAGAGTGATCCTGGACCAATTACTTTCCTACACTACTGTTGACATTGAAACAGTACTTCCTTACAAAGTACTGAACCCAAGACCCTCCATGGATTGTAGTGGTACAGTTTTTTTTTTTTTTTTTTTCACAAGCAATCTAAAGATCTCATAATAGGCTGATGGTACAGTATCGCAGAGAATGAGAGTTCTTAATAAATAATTTATAAACTGCTTGTATGAACTCAAAAGTCCAAAAATATAAATAAATATTGAGAAAGAAAAACTGAACTAGTCAACAAACTTCTTTCTTAAAATAAATAAATATATTATCAATCAGATAAACCTGTGAATACAGCTTCAGGTGAGCCAGCAGGTCCCACGACATAGCAAATATGACCTGTAGTATGGCAAGGAGTCTCAAGGCATTTTGCTACTAGATTACCTATCTGTATTATTTGGCCTTCTTTTACAATATCAGTTACTGCATCAACTCTTTTGTCTCCACCATATATGACAATATCTTTCATCTGGTCTTTTACTTTTTTATTGCCTCCCGCATGATCCCTAAGGAATTAAAGTAATAAATACTTGGAAACTAGTGAGCATCATAATAACACAAAAAAATGAGTGAGCCATATCACCTTATACTTAACATAAAAAAAAAAAAATTGTAAACAACACATTAAGCATTGGCAATTCCACTAAGAAGCCTTAAAATGTAACACAGTTACAGAAAAAAGGCATTAAAAGCACAACACTTTTAGAATTCACGTTATTAAAACTATTGTATATTGGGGATACAGGAAAAAAAAAACTTCATTATAACGAAGTACAACATTAAAAGTCAAAATTTAATTATAATATAAATTTATTTATTTTAAAATTCAAAAATTAATATTTAAGCTCTTTGGATGAAACATACAAGGGAACAATGTGCTGAGTGATGGTAAGGTGGTGTTCTCTGTAAAAAATAAGAAATAAAATGCTTTGATGCTGATCAGGATGAAAAACAAATACAAAGGTTACACACCATCAACACATGAGTATCAACTAACTTCTTATTTTTTTGTGTACATGAAAGTATACATTTTTGATGGCATAAACAATCACAACGCAACAGACAGTGCATTTAAATTATCTAAAAAAAAAAAAAAAATGAAGACTGATGAGGATTCTGATGATGGGCAACTTATATTTGTTGATATAATCCATGGAGGACCCAAGTCTGATTTAGCAGTTTTATTTCATGTTACTTTGTCAGATACAAATTTTCCACTGATCAAATTACAAATCTTCAACATCCACAATCCATTTCAAATGCCGTCGCTCTTTAAGATATATGCCTTAAGACTTGCCATAAGATAGCTTCTTGGGCACTCTCTCTTCAGATGGCATACATTTTTTTTTCTTTTACTCTATCATTTCAGACTTAGGGGAGGGGAGGAGGGGTTAACCTATAAATAACGAACCTATTTTAAACAAAGGTTGAAAGATAGATTGAATTTCTTTTTGTGAGTACGCCACAAAATAAATTTCAACCCGAATAGGCAAGATTTGAACTTGTATCGCTAGACTCAAGAAAGCTTCAGATGATGCCTCAATACTCTCAGTCATCATGGTCTTAAAGATGCTCTAACCATAATTGATATTGCATCCTAGGTACTTAATATTATCACAGCTCTTATAATATAGCATTTTTTTAACTCTTTTTCTTTTTCAAGGTTCCTTTCAATGCCCACTTCTTTTCACTCATACTAGATCTCCTCTCTTGCAGATTTGAGAATCTGTTCAAGAGCACTCGTTTTACAGTAAAATAATTATTTCAATTATCTCATTCAGTTCCTAAGGATTTTAATCTTCCACTTAGAGAGTTTCTCCTTATATGAATTGTATTCAAACCTTTCTTCTGTATTCAGCATTTTCCAATACCATACCAACAAATCTTTCCTGTACTCCTCCCTTATTTTACAAAGTAGCCAATCCCTCATAAAATTCCAATGTTGGTTTTAAATCACTTAAATAATTTCCCTTCTTTAATTCTGTTTTTTTTTTTTTTTCTGTTGTATATAGTTTTCTTTAATTTCTTCTTTTTGAACTTTTTAAATATGGTGGAGATGAAGTTTGGGATGAGCTCCATAAACTTATTTAATATATATCGATGGAAGAAGAGGTCCCAGATGAGTGGAAAGTGTCGGTCCTATGTCCAATTTATAAGAAGGGAGACAAGCTAGAGTGCAGGAACTATCGAGACATAGCACTGCTTGGCATAGCTTATAAAATACTATCCTCTGCCGTAGGTAGGAGACTGATATCACACATGGAGGGAAGTAGGCGAATATCAATGCGGCTTCAAGAAGGGTAGATCGATTATTGACTAGATCTTTACCGCCCGACAGGTGCTAGAGAAGTCACTGGAATACAACCTCGACCTGCATCACCTCTAAATTGATTTTCAGCAGGCATACGACTCAGTGTATAGGCAGGTTTTGATGAGGGATCTCCTTTCTCTGGGTGTGTCTAAGAAACTCACTCGCTTAGTAAAAATGACAATGGTAGATACCAGATGCAGAGTTAAACTACAAGGATTGCTGTCAGAGGAGTTTTCTGTGGTTTCGGGAATAATGCAAGGAGACACCAAGCCTACTCCCCTTTTTAACATGACCTTGGAGAAGGCAGCAAGGGCCATAAGAACCAAACCAGGAGGTACCATCTTTGATCTACCAGGAGGTGCATTGAAGGAATTTGAGACCGCTGAAGCAGCTCGAGGTCTACAAAAGACGATGTACATGAAGAGTTCAAGACATCAAGATCAGACACTAAACATAGGCCAACACGAGTTCCCAGTATGCAGAGAGTTAAGTACCTGGGATCCCTTATGACGGCAGACAATGATGTAGGAGCTGAGATACGAGCCAGGATTGTTGTGGGAAGTCGATGTTTTTATGCCATACAGCGACTACTCACTTTTTTAAAACAATCAAGGAATGTCAGATTGACAATCTATAAAACATTGATTCGTCCGGTAGTCACATACGGAAGCGAGACGTGGGTTATCTCAGCATGAGAGGGCTCTTGGAAGTGTGGGAGCGTAAGATTCTTAGGAGGATTTACGGACCCGTATGCGAAGAAGGTGTTTGGAGGTCACGAATTGCGACAACTCTACAGGGATGCAGATCTCGTTAGTGTCATTAAGGCAGGAAGATTAAGATGGTTAGGGCATGTGGAATGGATGGCAGCGCACCGAGTACCGAGGAAAATATTGTACGGCAACCTGGAGGAGCAAGAAGGAGAGGAAGACCACCACTCCGTTGGATGGAGGATGTTGAGGCGGATTTGAGACTGCTTAGTGTCAGGCAGTGGAGTGCTGTCGCATTGGACTGAGACTAGTGGCGACATATTGTTGAGAAGGTCACCAGGGACGGTCATCGTCTCGACCCCTTAGGTTTGAGTCGTGTCCCTCATTGACTGCGGAGGTGCAGGCATCCTCCTGTACATCCACAGTCAATCAGGTAAAGCCGTAGTGATCGTAAGATTGCGGAGCCTGAAACCAATCGTGCTCTGAGGTCAGGGAAGCAGTGCTTCCCGATCGAATTGGTACTACGGGGCGTCGCCGGAGCCCTGGCGGCGCTATGGGTGGACAGCGAGAGTGCTTGCACTGTTCGGCCGTGGCGGTCATAGTGGTCGTTGTGTTTACGACTACTCGCTGCACGAAACCAGTGTTCAGCTAGTCTTGACGTTGTTCAGGCTAGTCATCTGGTATAGTGTGCGGACGAGTGGACGGAAGTTATGGTAGTAGAACAATGTCCGTTCCGTGGGCGCCGGTTGTGTGCCTGCATACTCTTGGTCTTACCTGGGCCGGGGAGTTAGGTTGGAGGCTGGTTAAAGCTTGACGCTAGGAACGGCTTCCAACCCATGCTCCTTCGGAACATAGAGTAGGCGATTTCTCGCTGTTGAGAAGGCCAAGGTCCCACGTGGACTATAGAGCCGAGGAGTAAGTAAGTAGTTTTCTTTTAGTTTACTTTTTTTATTTGAATATTTTTACATGTAAAATTATGCTAATGATAGAACACAACTTTCACACCAACTAACTATTTGATAACACCATAGATTAAATAACAAACAACTTGTACAAATTTAAAATCAGATATCCCACCTTGTAAATGTGATTTTTAAATTGAACAGACAAATCCTCTAACATGAATTTCTGAATTTCTAACTACTGGATAGCACTATGCACATATGTGAAAAAAAAGAAGAATAAATTAAAAAAGACTGGCCTGTTTTGAAAAATGAGTATTTGATTGCATATTTCTTGATTGAAGCAGTTTAGAGAATATGATGAGATCGTAACACAGAACCTTGGCTGTAAATATAATTGAAGTAAAATTCATTTATTATTGTTAAATTACACTGTCCAAAAATGCAATAAATTTTATTTGATTAGAGTAACATAACTTAATAAATTTTACTTCTCTAGAATATTGTCCCCTGACAATGTATTAAATAATACTAATAAGTAACAATATAGATGCTCAATATTATTATTCATGTGTCAAAAATAAAAGTGTCTTTATGCCACTTTATATCAACGATGAAACACATTTTACGATTTTCTCAAAAACGGCTCTAATGATTTTGATTAAACTTATGCTAAAGTACAATTAAGTGTTTTTTAATATCAGGTACGTTTTATTCTCATTGATGTTCTCCAGTATATGTAAATATTGATTTTTCAAAATTTCTTACTCTAGAGTACCTTTCATTTTGTTTGTTATAAAAATTTACTATTTCACACTGTGTAGATTATATAAAAATGGTTAAATATAAACTGAAAAAAAATTATTATGAACTAAAGGAGAAATAAGAGATGGTATAAGAGACCGAGAATCGCTAAAGAAACTCACTTGCCCAAGCTCAGGATAATAAGGTGGTAATGTGGAGCCAAGAACTGCCGAAAAAATCCAAGCACGCCCTCAAGCTTGGTAAATGAGTGGGTTCCGATTATATTATTTATTTATATATGTACAGTTTTCATGAATGCTAGTATTATACTGGTATTATTTAATATTTAATTGTATAGATTACGGACATATAAAGATTTGAATTTGTATATATAACAGTGTTTAAACAAAAAAAATACACAATGAAATATAAATAAATATCGGATCTCCTTACTGACACTCTTTTCAGACTAAAAAAAAATTGACACTTAATTATTTATTATAATTAAATAAATAATTAAAATGTAGTCATAAAATAAAATAGTTAGTGGCAAAAAATGCATAAGTTTAATAGATTAGAAGAGAAAAAGATATAGTAATTAATTTTTTAAAATAATATGTTGTACCATCTATGATTTTTACTTTTAGTTTCTACCAGCTAAATATTTTAATACTAGTATTAATTTATTAATCCGGCGGTAATGACTTATATATTTTGGGCCTAAAACATTAAATGATGATAAGACCTATTTTTAGTCAAGATAGGGTGAAAATTGAGTGATGAGCACATTTATTATTTATATATATATATATATTCGTTTTCTATTACTAAAATTTCATTATAGCTCAAATTTACATGATTTTTCCCATGTAAGTACCCTATTGAGAAAATAAATCCCCAGGAATGACAAAGAACCTTTGATTCTCATTAATATTGCCTTCAATGTCTCGATTGCATGGCTACACGCTTTACAATTCATGGATCACCAAATATGGAGCATAGAGGATCTATATCCTTGCTAAGACCAATAAAGTTATTCTGGAAATTTTCCAGGCATAGCGAGGAATAATGAAAAGCAACAGTCCCGGTGGAACAAAGTTGCCTGTGGCCTCATATGTACAGAGAGAAAGTACTCCTGTTCGAGGTAGTCATCTACTGCTTGGCTTCATTCTTCAATAGTGTCCTTCAGATTATCTTCTTTCTCCTGTAAAGGTTATTTAAAATCCCCACAGAAGATTTTTTATGTTAATAAACTGTTTTATGTTATAATCCCCAAAGGCTTCAATTTAAAATTTAATGTTAGTTGAATCACAATTCAATTTATTTCAAATTTTAAAAATATTCAATTTGAACTGTTGACTATGTTTCTTATTCAGTAATCAATAAATGAAACATTAAAATTTAAAATAATTAATTATCACTCTAATGCAAGTAACTGTATGCAACAATAAATGGAAGAAAGCAATTTTTTTCAAAAATAATGAGCTATCTTTGAGTAGAATTAAAATATTGACAATTATCATAACAAAATAATAGAAGTTACTGACAGTGATGAATGAATACATATAAATTATTGAGTCCATGGCGGAACAAAATGCAATAATTATATTCTCACCAATGATGATGTGTAGTTAAGACTTTTGTTAAATTAACATTAAGACTTTTGACTGCTGAAAATAAAGTATCAGGATCGACAGGGTCCACTGCTGCTGCTTCCTTAGTATCATTGTCAATGATCTACAGTAAAAAAAAAAAAAAAATTAAGATTATAAAATTCTATGATTAAGTTTACTTTTTGTAAATTATATTTTATAAGATCTCATTCAAATTGCGCATTAGACAAAATAACTTTAGATTGTGTCAATTATAATTTTTGGTTCACTAATATTCAGTTGACAGATTTAGAACTCTAAGAATTATAATTAGAGCTGTGGTTTTAAGAGACAAAATTTGATTTAGCGATTTGAATGTTGTTTTTTGTATGTATTATGTCTTTAAAATATATAATTTAAAAATATAATAAAATTGACTATTTTTTATAGGCCTTGGTACAGATTCCTGCCAAAAACTTTGTGAATAAATCACTTCATATCATCGAAACCTGCAACTTTTTTATTTACAAAAATTCTCAAGAGTTATGAGGTGTTTTCAATCTGGAGATTGGCAAACTTTGTCTATTTAATAGGTACTACATACTCATGAACATCCATTTGTTTGAACCGTAAGATAATTTGATCACAAAATCGAGAAAAAAAGTAGCCTACAAAAATATTGGTCCGTTTGATGTGACCTTCACACCAATATGTCAAAAAAATGAGGTTATTATAAAGCAAACAGTCTAATATTTTTGTAAGCCATTTTTTTTATTTTGCGAACAAATTATCTTACGATTCAAGTGGAAAGCAAATCGGTATTTATGAGTTTTGGTACCTTATTAAATTAATGAATTTAAAGAGAAATGCCATATTTCTGACAATTTTGGTGGATAAAAAAATTTGTAAGTTACAATAAGATGAAGCCATTCAATAAGTTTTAGGTCGATATTAATAATTTGATAAAAAGGGGATTGTACCACGGACTATGAATCACATAGATCTTATTCTCACAATAACGCATATAGAAATTTCATGTAAACTACCTTTAAATTAAATTTTAGGTTTATGTTGCTTCTGAGTTTAAAGAAGACGACCATTTCAAAATAAAATTTGTTTCAGTCTTAAGAAAGGTTAGAACTTTTTCTTTAGTTTGCTTTTTAATAGGAAATAAGCTACCAGAAAGACATAGTTTGATAGTCACCGCCTAAGTTCACTCTTTTACTAAAAGAGTACTTAATATATGATTAAAGCAGAAATAAAGTGGTTAGAACATTCTGTTGAACACAATTATTTCAAGAAATGTAAGGTTGAAGTACATCTGTAATTACATTCTTGCATTCATACCTGGGCCAATTTATTTATTATTGCGAAGTTTTGTATACATTATTCCTTATTATTTTTGTTTCTAAATCTCCTAAATATTTTTTAAATACATTGCATATCTTAATTTTGTGAACATTTAAGGAAAGTAATAAATAAGAATAAATTTGTATGTATTTCTGTGTAAAACACTGTAATATTTATTTATTTGTTCAATGAAAATGACTTTTATTTCAGCATTTTCTTCAGATTTAGCAATAAATTACGAATAAAATGGTGAGTATACCTCAATTTCATCAAACTGAAGCTATAGTTATATGGAAAGTCAGAGGTATTGTTAGTACTTTATCAAAGGAATTTGAATATTTATAACAATTATGCCTATTGTTCATAGAAATTTATCCATTAAAGATTGTGTTAATTATTGTTAAAAAATCTTTTTCAATAACAAATTAATCTAATGAAATTAGGTTATCAAACCCAGGCATACTGCTGGTAATAACTCTCATTAAATTTTAACATTGATATAGACTTGTTTATAAGTGTATATTACAGCACTGAATACGAGATTTAAGATAAAAAATATTCATACCAAATACATGTAATTATCACTAAGTGCAGGGAGAATTTGAACTGACATTCCAGACATTTTGATCAATTCTTGACTACTATGGCTTTCTTTAGCAAAGATTAATCTGAACAAAAAAACAACATAAAAAATAAAATATAAGTCCATAAATTCTTAAACATCAAGCATATCATAACCAAACAAATGAAATTACATACTGGCTTTTGTAGTAAGTAGCTATTAAAGCTCTGGAAATACTGTTAGGCAAAATCCTAGAAAGTGTACCAAACATTATATGAATTCCGAAACCTATGAAAGTAATAATGTTTTTAAAAATAAAATAAAAAACAATAATAATACTCCTTAAATCATTAGTGTGCTCACTGCTGATTTATGCTAGTCGGTCTGATGACATTGAGACGTAAAAAAAAAAACATTAATAATTATTTTCTTAACCTTTATATGATATGATAACATAAGTAAATAAAAACTTCATATCAAGAAAGGTTATGAGATTCTGTCACAATTTTAGTAATAACCTTCTAGTGGCGGTATGTTGGGAAATTCGTTAGTTTTTTAAGTTTTAATAAATTTCTCTTGAGTTAATTAAAATAAGACATTCCTAATAAAATATTAACGATTTTTCTCAATAAGGAAAGAAATAATGATGTAGAAATGGTTGACCGTGATATAATATGAGTTGATCGGGGGGGAGGGGGAGGTCAAATAAATATTAAATTATACAAGTAGTATTAATTAATTTTTGCCGACGTTTCGACCCACTTTGCAGGTCTTCGTCAGGGCTATAAAAGATACAAAACATGGTGAAAATAAAATAAATGAATATAAGTAGATATAAAATAAGAAGGAAAGAAATACTTCTTTTAGACATTTTGTAATATTAAAACAGCAGACTTAATTAGGTTATCCACCCAGTTGTGTAGCTATAATTGCTTAAACTTGGCACTATAAGTTTCTTTTTAATTAAGCCTAGGTAACGTTGGCAAATACGTTTTCTTCTTGAACCACAATATAGACTATAAATGGGGAATGCATGTGGCCTCCGTGATGTCACTGCGGCCTCCGCTAATTTTTGAGCACTCTTCATTAATCTAGGGCTAATATAATTAATATTTAATTATTTATGTTATTAATATTTTGAAATTAATATAATTAAGTCGAATATATGTGTGTATTTAGTGATAAATAAAAAATAGCAACCATAAAATATTGAATGCCGGATTGGAGGTGTTTGCTGGCCGTAGTTAGAGAGCTCTGATATAAACTATACTTTCTAGAGTTGTTATTCTCGGTTGAAAGTGTCATCTCCTGCTCATAGGGTAAGCAGGAGTAACGAAGAAAGGCGAGCTACACTTCGTGAGGAGCACATGTCTAAGGCCAGTGTATACCGGAATGAGGTGCGCTCACATAAATGAAGATCATGGGATGAATTCATCCAGGAAGAGTCAGCGAAGAATCCCTGAGGTATCCTATACAGGGTGGTCCTTGGAAATCTGACCCCACAGCAAGTCATTGCAGCCTTAAAGCAAGGGGGCTCTCAGGCAGCCACTCTGGAAGAAACAGCAAAGATGTTTATTAAAGAGACGTATCCCAGAGTGATCCATCACATGATGCTAATGATTATGCATTTGTGAGAAGAGCCACGGTATACCGGCCTTGATCGGATCTGTGCCCATCATGGGACATTTGGGACCTCCGTAGTGCCGTTGAAAGGCAAAAGACTGGCCGGGTCCCAGGTTTAAATGCGATTGATGCTACAATGCTCAAGAATAGTATTCCCTATTTAGAGAATACGCTGCTTGTTATTCTCAACGACTGCCTAGATAGAGGATAATTTCCAAGAAGCTAGAAAATTGCTGATGTCAGACTCTTTTACAAAGGAACAGACAAAGACAAGCAACTAGCCAAATCATACAGGCCTATTTGTCTTCTCCCTGTAATGAGCAAGGTATTAGAAAGTCTTGAGCCTTCGGCTAGTCTTATCAAGATCTAGCCATTCATTGTAATATGGATCCACTAAAGGCAAGAGACCGCAGATCCCATATTGAGAGTGCATCATGACGTAAAAGAAAGTGCGGAAAGGTAATGTTATGCTTCTTCTGTTTGACATATTCTCTGCATTTGACAGAATGTGGTGGCCGAGTGTTCTCCAGCAACTCCAGAAGTATGAAACCCTCAGTAATCTGTATGACCTAGTGAGAAGCTACCTCCAGGACCGGACATTGAAAATTAGATTCAGATTCTTTGAAGTAGAAGACACCGTAGAGAGGGGCTGCCCGCAGGGATGTGTTCTGGGTCCCGCCTTGTGGAAGATAGTCTTTGTCGAGTTGCTGGAGAAGCTCGAAGAGGAGCGGTTTCCTGCCACAGCCTATGTTGACGATTTGGCCGCCGTGGTGGCCTCAAACAGCATAGCTGGTCTGAAAGCAGAAGTTGAACGATGCGGCAGTTTGGTAGGAAGATGGTGCGAGAGGAAGAAGTTGAAGATGGCTGCCACAAAAGTACTTTGGGGAAAGTGGGAAAGTACTTTCTTAGGGTAGCCTCCCTCGGTATTGCCATCCATCGTCGGTTCCATTGATCAACTGCGTCCTCCCTGATAATTCTTTTCCATCTTCATGGGTTTTCATCAATTCTAATCTTTAGATGTTTCGGTAGATCCTCCGAACCTCCTCTTTTCATTTTAACATAGTATGATGAGCTATGTTAGTCGTGCTCCTCAAGGGAATTGCCTGGGTCTTTGCGGCAGCCATCTTCAACTTCTTCCTCTCGCACCATCTTCCTACCAAACTGGCGCATCGTTCAACTTCTGCTTTCAGACCGGCTATGCTGTTTGAGGCCACCAGCGCGGCCAAATCGTCAACATAGGCTGTGGCAGGAAACCGCTCCTCTTCGAGCTTCTCCAACAACTCGACAAAGACTATCTTCCACAAGGCGGGACCCAGAATACATCCCTGCGGGCAGCACCTCTCGACTTCTTCTCGGTGTCTTCTACTTCAAAGAATCTGAATCTAATTTTCAATGTCCGGTCCTGGAGGTAGCTTCTCACTAGGTCATACAGATTACTGAGGGTTTCATACTTCTGGAGTTACTGGAGAACACTCGGCCACCACATTCTGTCAAATGCAGAGAATATGTCAAACAGAAGAAGCATAACATTACCTTTCCGCACTTTCTTTTACGTCATGAGACAAAATATTTGATCGGTCGTAGACTTGCCTTTTCTAAATCTGCACTGGTACCGGCCGAGTGCGCTCTCCGCATGTCGTAGCAAACGTTTGTCCCATAGTTAGTAAAATGTCTAAACCCGGCATATGAGACTCATGGGCTCAGTCCCTGCTTGAAGAGGAACCTTCATCGCAAGCTTTTAAGTGTCCAAATTATTAAAATTTTACAGGAGTAAATGTAGTCAGATTAATTTGTTGCAAGTAATAGATTCAAAAATGTTGGAGGCGGGGTGGCCATATGGGCTAAAGCGTGTGCACAGCACCGCGAGTTGCTTGGCAACCGGATTACGGATTTGAGAAGATTTAAAAAGTACGAGTTCGCATCCCAGTGCCAGAGGGGATTTTAAATTCCCCGCCCTCACCCCCCGGTCCGGGAAAATCCCGTATAGCTTAAAAGGCGAGGTAGGGGAAGGGGAACAACAAAAAAAAAAAAAGATTCAAAAATGTAATGAGAGCCTAGAAATATCTACGTAGAATCTTGTAATAATTCAAGAAATCATTATTAATTAATATTAATAATCAAGAACAACGAATAATATATTTTCATATGTTTGTATTAATAAATAAGTAAACTACTTTTTATCTCTAGGGTTGAATTTACTGCTTACTTCAGCCTACGCTTTTAATACACTTTTTTTGCACTACTAGGTTTTTATTTTCAAGTGGTAATACGTAAACAAGATTAAATAACAAGTTTTTTGTTTATTACAAAACAATTCTTGAATATTGAACAATTTGGATAAAAAGAAACGATCAATTTGAAACAAGAAATATGCTGATGTCTAGGAAAAACTATAAAGAACTAACATTAATTAGTTGCATCCGTTTTTCCAAAAGTTGGTTTCCTATAATTAATCTCTGAAAGAGTAAGAACAGAAAGTGTAAAATGAATTAGGGCCTTATTTTGATATAGAGGAAAATTACTATAGATAGAATTTGACCACTTCAACTTTAGATATATGTATATATATGTGACCACAAGATTTATCAATAGTTTAGACTTTGATAAACCGATTGATGACTCAATTATAGAATATCCAATTTAATAATTTATATTATTATGGTTTTTACTTAAGTGTTGAAAGAACTAATTAATGAACCTTTCTTTTGGAGGAATACTTCAAAAGAAATTAAAAATACGTATTTTTTATCTTAATCAGTAACAATAAATTACTTCCCTATCTTTAAATAAAACACTTCACTTAAATAGTTGGTTTATGAACTTTCTTAAAACTCATGCGACCTCTTTGGTTGGTACAGGATACCTTCCGCCGAAATATTTTCGGAATACATGTTTCATTTAATGTTTAGCAGCCAATTTTTCTGTATTTAATATGGTTTTCCAGACAGCTGCTTTGTTCATTAGAAGTAGAGGTCCAGATGCCTTTTGGCGGAAACGTAGAATATTCAAACTATCAGCGGTAAATAGGCCCCCAGACAAATGAAATTTATTTGATTATTATCTCATTTTAATTTTGTTTGTGATAAAGCATTTTACAGGACGAAAAAGGAATTGTTATTCAATAGCTGTAAGATATGTCCACAGAGCTTTAGCTTATGCCACTCAAAGTAGAAAACTAAAAAAAGAAGACATGGCCAATGTAATAATTTTCTTCATTTCTGTGCATTTGTTGGTTAATTTCTGTTAGCACTAATGTTTTTTTTATGAGTAGTTATGGACGACCAGAGTAGCTGCAGGATGTGAAGAACATGGCCTTCCTTACCCTTTGTTTAAAGATGGCTTGGAAAAAAGCAATATTCTGCTGAATCGAAAAGTATTGGCTGATCTTGCTATTTGGGAGCCATATTCTTTTAAAGTAAATTAAATTTTTTATTAATATTTTTATCAGATTAAAGTTATAATCATTGGAGGTAAAATTTCTTGGTCATTATTGACTTAATTTTTAATGTTTAACAACATTTGCATGGAAGAAAAGATGATAGGAAAATATTTTCTTCCATTTATTTTTTTCACTATCTTTATTTTCTAAATAGACAGTAGCTTATTCTGATTATCCTCTATAGCAGAGTTCTCCTAACTACGGCCCTAGATAGCTTCTTTGCGTAGTAAAATTTAAAAAATATGAAATTTAGTGAATTATTTATAAATGAGGTTACTACAACATTTATTGTATGGGTTTTTGCTCTTAGGATCTCATTTCACAGCTGGAGTGTCATCTATAAAATAAATTTTTTTTTTTCATCACAAGCTATGGCCCGCGGAGCTTACTGAAGGTATCAATGTGGCCCACAGGCCAAAAAGTTTGGATACCCCCTGCTGTATAGGCTGATGAATATATACAATATTTTAATACCTCCTTATTCTATTACGCACTGGGTGTATGTGAGCGAAGCCATGACCTCTGCCGATAAACATCTCTACTGGTTATCCAGACAGAATAAAATGACATCAAAGATAAAATAAATGAGGGGAGAGGGGGAGGGTGGTGTCAGACTATATGTACACGATAGTCCTAAGGTCAAAATCCTCCTTTTCATGTCTTTCAGTCTCCTTTTCATGACTTCCCTCACATTGAATATTTGTTTGTTGAAATTTCCTGTTTCCTCTCCTTTATTATATGTTGTTGTCTACCGCCCTCCTCGTATTCCATTCGGCCGTCTCTTTGAATCCTCCATTGTAAATCTGGTTTCCTCCTATTCCAATGTCATCATCTCAGGTGATTTTAATGTAAATATGCTCTCAGCATTTTCTGAAAAATACTTCCTTATTGACCTAATATTCTCCCTTAATCTCCATCTGATTCCCTATTCTCTCACTTATCACACATAATTTCTTGACACTTGGTTTGACCTCTTCATCTCTGACTCTACTGCCAAAATCCTTTCCTATCCCATCCCATTTCTTTAATCACATGACCTAATCCAAATTACATACAATCTACTCGTGAAATCCTTTACTCCCAAAATGATTTCCTACCACAAGCTTTCTCTCCTAAGAATCCCTTCAACCCGACCTCGACTCCATCCAATGGGATAGCATATATTCCTATAACTCCTTTGAACCTATAGTATCTACCCTTACCTCAAAACTAAAATCCATATTAGACACCCATGCTCCTCTGAAAACTAAAGCCTTACGCTGTCCCACTGCTCCTTGGCTAAATCCTGAAATAAAGAAAATGATAAAAAGAAAGGATTCAGCAAGGCGCAAATACCGCCGAACCCGTCTGCCTGTTGATTATGCGTCTTTCAGAGAATTTCGCAATAGTACTCAATCCGCAATCCGACTAGCTAAAGCCACCTACTTCCATAATGCCCTTTCCAATGCTCCCGACTCCAAATCCAAATGGAAAATACTCCGTAATTTATCCCTACCAGAATGCAGTAATCTCAGTTCCTTCCCTGTGAATCCAGATGATCTCAATGACCACTTCTTATCCTTCTCCCACTTACAATATTGAGCATCACAATTTCAAATTCTGGAAGACTTTTTTCTCCCATGTGTCCTATGTTGAACTACTTTCCACTATCCTAAAATCTCATACCAATGCTTATGGCCCTGATAATATTCCAGTAAAACTAATAAAATCCAACATTCCTGTACTTTACCATATCTACAACTTTTCATTGCAAAACTCTATATTCCCATCTTCATGAAAAACCGTCCTAGTCTGACCATTAAAAAAACTTCAAACCCTTCTTCATCTCAATCATCTTTCCAATCTTTCAAAACTGCTGGAACACCTCTTGCAAACTCAACTTTCCAAATCCCTAGAAGAACATTCCCTAATCAACCCTCTCCAATCTGGCTTCTATCCTTTTTACTAGTTACTCAATTTAGTTCTGATTACTTAACCCAATCTGCCCTAAAAATTACCCATGACCTCCAAAACTCCATTGAATATCAAAAACTTACTATTCTCATTCTCCTAGATTTCTCCACAGCTTTTGACACACTTGCCACAGTATCCTCCTTATTAAACTGCAACATCTTCCTTTTTCAACAGTGTCCTGCGATGGTTCAAATACATCCCTGTGTGTAGTCATCCAAGGTCAATCTCCTAAGACACTTCCCCTCTTTTTTTTTTGTTCTTCCCTAACTTGCCTTTTCCCGGACTGGGGGTGAGGGCGAGGAATTTAAATTTAAATTTGAAATCCCCTCCGACACTGGGACGCGAACTCGTACTTTTTAATCTTCTGGAATCTGTTATCTGGTTGCCAGGCAACTCGCAGTGCTGTGCACACGCTTTAGTCCATTCGGCCACCCCGTTCCTCCAACACTTCCCCTCTCCGGCGGCGTCCCTCAGAGTTCCTCCCTATCTGCTACTCTAATATACTTATCCTTCCCTCCTGACCTATTAGCAGCCACATAAAAACTTTAAGAGGACTTAACTAGAATGTGTGACTGAGCGGATGGGAACAAGTTGAAGTTGAATGCAGAGAAGACAAGACAATTTTGATAAGCTCCAGTCACCTCCTTAAAACTGTTCCCAACATACCAACCCTGTTCCTACATGATAATCCCATTAAATTCTATTCCACCATTAAGGACCTTAGAACAAACCCTTTCCTGGAAAAACCATGTATCCGATATTTCCCACCGTTCCTTTTCCAGTTTAAAACGACTAAATTACCTCTGCCACCTATTTCCATTTGAAACCCATAAACTCCTGATTACTTCCTTAATATTTCCTCACTTTATTGATTGCTGTACGGTATATGGGTGCTTCTTCGGAGATTTCAAGACGAAACTAAAACGTTTAATAAATGCCCAAGAGACGCCTCTGTTTCCCGTTATTATGAAGAGCTGAAATGGCTTGATCCTTCCTACCGTCCTTCCTCTTCCATGTCATCCAATCTTTCCGTCCTTCATACATCTCCGAGTTTCTTCAATTCGAATCCTCTGTCTACTCCCGCAAAACCTCACTCTTCAGATTTGTAAACAAGATCCCACCGAACCGCTGCTTTCGGCAGATCTTTCATTATTTGATCAATATCCCTATGAAATTTATCCCACCCTACATCCGTCGCTGCAATGCTCTCCTCACCTTTTAATCACCTCTTATCTGTTCAGTTCTCATGAAATTGTAAATATGTATATAAATAATTAGTTTTAAATACTTTTGTTTCATTTTTTTTTTCTTAATTGAAGTTTAAAGGTAAATAATATTCTTTTCTTTTCTTTATTCATTATATAAATCTGTTTATTTTGTAATTATTCTCTGAGGCTGCAAAGCCCACATTTCTGTCTCTGTGCATTATTCTAAAGGTACTTGCCCCAGAATAAATAAAGCATTATTATAATGATAAATTTTAAGAACAGGGTGGTAGGGGTTTTTGGATGATAAATTGCGGGATTATTACGCCCATATTTTAAGTACATCACCTATCACTATATTAGTAGAGGACTTGGATTATCATACTTTTTCATTATAAAATAAATATTTTTATTTAATTCATAATCCTCATGTCATATCCATAATGCCTCACTGTTGCACACACATATCAATTATAAATGGTATGTACTTCCTATACATCAAAAGACTAATTATTGCAAATCCTTTTTTTAATGGATTTACAATGGTTACTTATTAGCATTATTTTTAGAATGAAATTATGGTAAGAAATTTAGACATTCTTAAACACTAATTTTTAAGTAACTTGTAGTTTTAAGCTTTATTGATGGTTATTTTGTTTAGGCTTTAACCCAAATCGCTTGGACTAAACTAAGGGAAGAAGATGATCCAGAGCTCAATGAAGTCCAAGAAACTCCTCCTTCCAATGTTATAACTAGAGGATTATTAGATAAGTAGTGAGTATTTTTTGTAAGGAACTAGTGTGTTTTTGTGATTAATTATGTTTGCCTGATATCCTTTATGTATTTAAGAAAATATTTTTGCGGAAGTGAACCAACCACTGTTTTTACTTCTTATGTATTCAATCAAACTCAATATTAATAAAGGATTGATAAAAATAAAGTGTATTTCTATGTGAATTAAATAATACCCAATACATTTATTGCTAGTTTTTTTATTTAGTTATTTTTTTCCAAGAAGTAAAGTAAATTGACGAATTATGGTGACAAATATTTACATCTTATATAAATTTGCAATAGGTAACAGATTTTATAAGGTAATAAGGTCACTCCAACAGGTACCGGGTACAATTTAATTCTGTAGAAAAACCAATTCAAGTGCAATCTTTATGGTCTTCTACCATAGGCATTCATTGTTTGTTGTGTAGAGGCTTCCCCTGTGTAGATGGATTACTCCGAGCTACAAGTCCTGCCCATTTTTACTTCCTTGCCTTCATATGAGATATTGATTGTGCAGAGAATTTTTCTCTTAAATCTTTCAATACTTTTTTCTTGAGTGCTGGTTAGTATCCATGTCTTGCATTGTTGTTATTGTTCAACCTTGATTTAAGATTTAAATATTCTGGAAGAGAAAAGAAATCTCTGTTTGTAATCTTGTATGCTGGTCTATTTTTGACTTTAGATCATTCATCGAGCTTATTGTGTAGTTGAGGTATTTGAATTTTCCTCTCAGGAAAGATTTCTCTTCTACACAAATCCTGTCATTGGGGTGAATTTTTGACTTATCATGTAATTTGTGTTATCTTCATTTATTTGAAGGCCAATTTCTCTAATTAGAGTCATCGTGAGTTTCTCATTGTTCTCTGGATTGGGTTTAAGAACAGCTTATTTATATTTAAATTACTGGGTACTCAAAAAACTTAGCTGTTTAAGATTAGCCAAGTATAACTTGTGGAAATCAGGTATCCAGAGCATAACACTGTTCTTTTAAATTTTGGATTGATATTGTAAATTTAATTTTCAGGTTAATCTAATATCAATGGGCTCTCATAACTAATTGCTATAACTTATTTTTTCACAATATGAATAGAAATCTTTTTATCATCTAAGTTGCTTAAAAATTGACTACAACCACGGAGGGTCTAGGGTTCAGTACTATTTAGAGAGAGTACTGTTTCTTGGTCAATAGTTGTGTAAGGAGGTGATCACGCTCAACTGCCAGGTTTTCTCCCTTATTTAAGATTACCCACTTTACAGAAGTTGGGTATGGCCCAGAGAGGTCTCCCAATCCTAGGGTCACCCCACGTCAGATGAAACAGAATTCTATTTCATAAGAGACCAATGGGATAAGCTATTATTTTTTTATTGTGAAAATTGTTAATGTAACCTTATTTATTTACTTTTTAATAATAAACTTGTATATAATAATAAAGGATATAATAATTTTTTAATCTTATTTTGCCCAATACTTCTATTTGCAAGGTTGAATGCGCCAGCATTGCAGAAAGTTTAAGAACTCTTTCTGTAAAGTAAATTCTTTTAGAAGCTATGGAGAAGATTCTTAAGTACCCAGTTAGGAGTACTCCAATGGTTTTCCTTCCCATCTGAAAATGATCTGATAGATTTGTGTAAAAGAAATCTTGGCATTCCTACTCAATAAGAGGGTGGCAATCAGTAGAAAACAATGGAGTTCTTTATAAGCTCGTTTGAGGCTCCTTAAGATAAAAATAAACAAGTTAATGATACATAAGTAAATAATTAATTTAATAGATAAGTAAATACACTATTTATTTATGTAATTTATATTAAACAAATGTATAAAAATATTGATAAATACTGTTTTCGTAAAATAATTTGTGCAAAAAATAAATAAAAAACATTTTCGTGGAATAAAGATTATATTTTCTCGTTCATTTCTATAAATACTATAAAATATTTATAAAATGTTTTGGAGATAACTTATAATATATAAATTTCATGTAACAAATAATTTAATTTAACAAAGTTTAAGTTTTTGAACAAATAAGTATGAAGTTCACATCAATCAATTAGAATGCCAAATATTTCTAATTTGATTGTTGTAACCAAACTAGATTAGAATTTCAAAAAACCAAACAAAATAAACCATTATAGGTGCCCACTTTAGTATTGTGCATGCATTTTTTAAATTTTGACCTTTATCTTTTAATATTTATTCACACTTAAGTGTATGCCTTAAGTTCAATATTATAACAATCAAAATCAGCTTTTGATAGTTTAACTAAAAATATATCCTCTAAGTTGGAAATTAGACATTGTACTAAACTTGTTATATCGTTGTGACTTACCCTATTGTTTAGGAGAATAAAATATTGCTGAAGAGAGGGATACAGATTCCTAGAAACATTCAATATATAACTATCAAAACCTAATTTTGATTTTTATTAACTGACCTAATGGCATACACTAATGTGTGAATATAACTTTAGTATTTTGCGTAACAATAAGTTCACATTTTATATATATTACCATACTATGTCATTAAGTTGAGGTCTGCTACTTCTCAGAACTTAGGGTAGGTGATCGTTTTCAGGTACAGAATGAATAAATAAAGTTAAACAGCTGTACAGAAAACACTAAGCTTCAGTGTGTATAAAGTACCTTAATGTTTAAAGAACAAGAAAGATTTTTTCACACCAATTTAAGACATCTCTTAATTTTTCTGAGCTGAAAAGAACCTTTAGTAATGAGTGGAGCATTATTAAAAAATACATTTATATATATACAATTCCTTCAGTTCCTCAGCAATTGTTTACTACATATACTTCACACAAATCCAACAGAACAGTTTTTAATACAAGACAATGAATGTTATCAAAATGTAAAAATGGTTACAGTTCAAAGCTTCAGAATAGTCAAAATCTATGATTGATCTGTAATTATTCTTTAATTAAAAATTAATAGTTTTACATAATTAAGTTGGAACAAGAAATATTTATGGATATATTAACAATAATTTCTGTTAAGCAAGAAATAAATTTAAAAAATAACAAAACTTTGAATATTTAAGTGTATTAAAAATTGGAGCTTTGTTAACAAACCTCAAAATGGAATGGAAACTACTTACAGTAAATAATTGCTGAATGATATAGAGATCTAAAACAAATTATTGAATTCAAATAATGGTCATCACAGGGATTTGTTTACATTAATATAAATATAGCAAAATAATATAATTTCAAGATAGGGAAAAAATAACAATAATAAATATTTGGACTTATTAAGCTAAAAACTTACATTATCTGTATAATTAATGAAAAATAAAACAGAAACCAAGAATTTTTCTATTTAAATATTTGAAATCATGTGAAATATAATTGAAATATTTATTTCTTTAGTATTAAAAATTACTTAAACCATAATTAAACTTATTGACCAAGATATCAATGACAAAATAATCCTTTAATAACCACAAACATGATCCACGATTGTCCATAAGCAGTAATGGAGTAATGGAGAACATGCACAACAAATAAATTGCTGTACAACAGCAGCAAGCTAATTTTCATTAAACAAAATTAATTCCATTCTATTAAATAAGCAGAGGTCTCACAAAGGGAATTAATTAAAGTTTTATCAATTTGTTATGATCTAATGGATAATTAATGTAATCTTCGCACAAATTATTTTATAAATAACCCAACCAATAGAAATTGAATTTGATTATTAAAATAAATAAATGTTTAAAAATTAAAATTCTTTGTCTACACTTAATTATTAAATTGTATGTAATTCATTTCTCCCGGGACTATTTTAGAAGAGAAAATCATCTATTTAAAAAAACAACAATTTAAGTCAATTTTAGAGCCCCAAAAATAAAACAATATACAAGCTATTTTTAAAATAAATTATAACACTGCAGGAATATACATATAATATATACAATAGCATCTCCTAATTTGTTATATTTTTTAATACATATGCTACATTACAATATGTACTATATATCCAATTCTATTATTATATTTATCTACTATACAGTTTAAGTAATTATTTTACAATTTATATCGTAATCTGTATTTTGACATTGTGTTGAAAAAATGACAGAAATAAAAATGAAAACAAAAAAATAATAATACTGGCTGCTGTTGATTATTGCATATAAACTCAAATAAATATAAACCTGTCAGTCAGTCAACTCATATTAAACGCTTCTTTAAACAGAAACATATGAGAGAATGTTCTCATGATAATATAATTCTTTGTGACCCATGATGTAGTATTGTAATCACCTTAAGCTGGTAACTGCAGTTTCTTTCCTTTGAGAACTGGAATACATAATTGAAATTTAAGTATTAGTAAATTATTAAAAATTTAAAATTTCAAGAAAATGAAAAATCATTCTGAATTCAAGCATAGAGGAAGAACACATGCACAAGGAACATATTAGGCTGCAAATATCTGAATCTGAGAAAAACTGGAATTCAATTACTGAAGTATAACATCTGGCATAAAATTATATATTAAGTCTCAAACGTGTTTTTTAATTGGTAAAATGAAGATACATTGCCTATAAGACTTTTTACTTATGTTTTAGTTTACTATTTTCAACAAACCTTTACCATGCAATTAACAAAGAAAACAAATTTTGATCCCTCCCTAAAGTTCACGTTACAATTCAAGATATGTATAATTTAAAAATGAATTAAATAATATTTTTTGCTTCCTCACTACCGAAGGTAGGGAAGCACTGCATTGGTACGAGAGGTTAAAAAAAATTTTGTGCTCAGAATCAAAAATTTCCACTCGTATTTTACGTTTCAGACATCAGGACCAAATTTGGATTGGCGTCTGTCTGTCTGTCTGTAGTCAAATCGATGTGACGGGCATATCACCTACTATCGTTTATTTGATTTTCAGGGATTCTGCGGGTCGCTATCTTGATGATTCCATATCAATTTCATCAAAATCCATCCAGCGCTTCCGCTTACTCAAGTGCAAACGTATTTTTTTAGATTTGCTAATATTTCAGAAATGGCTAGCTCAACTTGGTTCAAAGTTGAAAAAATAGGTATTAATAAAAAAATAATGCAGTATCAATTTAATTGAAATCTGTCTTTGTATAACGTGTTTTTCTTGATACGTCTATATCTCTAAAACCGCAAGCTCGATTGGACTCAAATTTGGTGAAAAGTTAGGAATTGGTTAACAGATAATTAAGTGAATATAAATTTTATGTATTTCTATCCACTACTCTAAAAAAAATACTGCTTTCAGATCAGTAAATGTATTATTTGACACACCTATTGTTTGGTCGCTTCCAAATGTTACTAGCACGATGCTTACTGTGTTATTTATATTTTGTGTAATTTTCAATAAATTAACATTAATTCTTATACTAAGTTTGTAAAAAAAAAATAGTAGTCGTATTTATGATTGCGTTTATTTCTGTTGAAGTTCAACCAGCTCATCGTGGTCTCGATTTCATCCTTAAACATCAAAGTTGTGAGGGCTTCAGTTATATTTTTATATTCCAGCTTAAATTAGTTTTGTTATGACTGAAGAAAAATATTGGTCTCATTAACTCCGAACAAACAAAAAGTTGAATTATTCCTATGGATTTTTGTTCCATCCATTTTACGTATGAAAACATACCTATTAAGTATATATAACTACTGTTAGTGCAAAAGGTGGTATGTAAATTTTTTTAATTTTATTCTACATTTGACATTTTGCTGTCTGTAACCGATATAAGTAGTCTGCTACAATAGAAAATATTAGAGGGCAATAAAATATGAAATAAATATACTAATAAATCGTGAAGAAATTATTTGTTTTTATGCTATCCTGTAAAACACACAATTTTTCCATACGACTTTTTGCAGCGGCGGGGTGGCCGAATGGGCTAAAGCGTGTGCAGAGCACCGCGAGTTGTCTGGCAACCGGATCATAGATTTGAGAAGATTTAAAAAGTAAGAGTTCACGTCCTGGTGCCAGAGGGGATTTTAAATTCCCTGCCCTCACCCCCCGGCCCGGGAAAATCCCGTATAGCCTAAAAGGCGACTTAGGAGAAAAAAAAAAAAAAAATGCACAAACAGACTGATATGCATATTCAGTATGACCTGGAATTTTTTTAATTAATCACGAATTATCAAATATGCAATCTGCAAATGTGGAACTCTTTCACATTTTTCTATTCGCTGATGAACAAAACCCATGAATATCAAATACGTATGTTGAGTAATTACTGAATTTCAGAAAACGGTTTCTTCCAGAGATTGTATTCTCATACAAAATTTAGATCTTGTAATAAAAACATTTAATTAAAACGGTGAGGAAGCTATACTGATCTTACTATAATTTTCAATTATCATTTATTATCACCAGGAGGATCCACGAAACCCCATGTTATCAACGTATGTTTATTTTACTGTTTCTTATAGTGAACATATGTAATCAATCAAGATAAAAAAATTGATTTCATTACCATTTGATCATTAGCGCATATACAAATTAAAATAAACTCTGACACAATGCCACGTTATTTACTTTCTCAAAAGGATAATTGTATAATAGATATTTTAAGTGTACTTAAAATTATATTCTTCTCAATGGCTTCCTATGGCTTTACCCCAATACTATAACCCAGGATATACCTCTTTTGAGGAGGGCTTGATAACTGGCGCGGTACTCACATATGGCAAAGTACTGCACCATATCAAGAAGGCACCAAGCTGAGTTGTTTTAAAGCTCTATTGTTTAAGCACTACTGCACTACGGCGTATGGTTCTTCTTCTACTAGCAAACAAGTTTTAAAGTCAAACTACACAGCATCCAGGAAATCAAAACAAATTAAACCAAATCAAAACATAAAATAATATCTGAACTTACCTTTTGTAATATATAAATAGAAAAAATCACAGTATAGCACAGTTTGTACGATTCCAGATATGATCGCTATCCAGTCATAATGATTTTCAGCATAATATCTGTACACCCAATTAAATAGATATAAAGCTCTGTATGATCCAAGGGCAAAAAGATAGTGAGAAGTTATGCTTTCTGCTTCACCAGTTTTTGAGACCATGAACAACTGAGGTAAAATAGCCACTGATTCCAAGTAAATACTGAATGTCCACAGAAGCTAAGGAATAAACAATATATATAATAATTATGCAAGTAAAAAGATAAAAAAATGAATAATTAATTCAAGTCGATTTATAGTTACCTCTAGTGGTGTAAAGTCGTGATTTATGAGCAAAGCAAGTATGAAACATGGTAAAACCAAAAATTCAATTCTGAAAAAAAAGGAAAATAAAAAATCAATCATAAAAAGTAACTGTAGAAACTATTAACAATAGTAAAACAAAAATGTATAATCAAACTAATAACTTTATTGACACTACCATATCAAAATATAGAAATTAGAAAAATACGTATTCCTAATAAATTACAGAATAAAAAACAATGTTATGAGAGAAGATGGTTGGGGATCACAGTCATAGGAAGTATACAAAAATAAACTATAAGGATAAAAAAAAAAAAAAATCAGAATATGCAGTCAATGTTTATCAAGTTTGCCGACATTTCAACCTATCAAGTGGGTAATCATCAGGGGAATGGTTTGATAACAAGACAAGAACTGGGCACATGCGGATAACCGTATGATATCCGCACGCACCTATTTCTTATCCTGATAGTGACTCACATGATAAAGTGGAAACATTGGAAAACTTAATAAACACTGACTGCATATCTTGATTATTTTTCATCCTTATAATTTCAATAGTCAACCATACATCAATCTCTAAAATATAAATTATATTTATTTTCTTTATGCCGGCATTTCGACCTATGTCTCAGGCTTTCATCAGAGCTGTTCATCCAAAGGATATTGGACGAGTAGAATGTAAGTTCTGTAACTATGTTATGCTACTGCCAACAGTCCAAGCCACAGAAAAGTGATGTTCAGTCAGGAGAAAAACAGAAAATAAGAGCAATAATATAATTTTAAGTCATAGACAAAAGATGATTAACTTTGTGCCCACAGGCACCATTTAACACACCTAGCCTGACCTGTAACTGATCACCATGGGAGGCAGTAACTTCATCATGTTGTTCAATGAGATTATATAGTTTTTTTTACTTATTTAATAAGTAATTTTTATTAAAAAATATAATTGTGTTTTTTATAGTCATTTGTTGATAAAATAGTTATTTACTAAAACAAAAACAAAAAATGCCCAATCCTCACATAATGTTCAGAGACCTGAACGATAACCAAGGCTATGTGTGAAATCATTTTGAATGAGAAAATTCTTTGAAAAATAATTGAATGTTATCATTAACAGAAGATGGAGGAGGACCAATTAGGTGATTTATGATTTCTAAGGTGAACATAACCTAGAACCAATTGTGAAGCAAGTCAGATTAAGGTAGGAAATACTTATAAAGGTTGCGCACAGACAAAAAAAGGGTCAGACAGCTAAGGATTCGCTGGATTGACTGTGTGGCTGGAAATGCAAGGAGCCTTGAATTCCGCAAATGTATGGTGGCATTAGGCGAGACTCCTGGCAGTTGTTTATTGAAGAAGCCTAGACTCCGTACCGTATTATAGAACTGCGTGAAGTAAGCAACTATTATTATCACACTATCCAAATTATGAAGCATTTATTAATGAAATCTAGTCACACCATCTTCAGCTTTTATATTTCTTATACAGAAAATTTAGATCTATACTTCGATTATTAAAATATACTATAATTATAAAAATATTATACATATAATCATATAAGCAACATTTATTAATATGTTAAAATTATTCTTTATCATTATTATTAACATGAAATACGCCATCTAGGAAAAAAATATTGAGGACTCTTGCTCAATACTATTATTTTCATTCTCAAATTTGTATGGGCCATTCAAATTATCCCCTTCCAATATATAACTACTTTGTTTCTTGTGAGCTAGGAATACACAAAGAAAAAATAGTCAAGGTCAAAAATAGTTTCTATGCAATTAATATTAAAGGCAGAGATTTCACTTAAAACTTGTTGCTTATTGTGGTAATGTATGAATTGAAGCTACTGGTATAGTTTTAATTAATTAATAATTTGTGATTTAATAATCATTTCTGTTTTATTAAGACACGCAGAAAACTAAACTTTTTTTTAGACAATTTCAAGTAATACAATAAAATATTAATAAATTACAAAACGAATAACATACACTACCAACAACTTCAACTGTTAGTTTCAAAATACTTAAGGACAATAAAATCACACTGATTAGCAAAGATCATAATAATGATCAAAGGCGTTAATTGAAAGAAAATGTATTGAAAGTCTCAAATTAATATTATTTACATTATTATTGAAAAATAACAATATAGTCTGTAAATTATGACCAAGGTTAGAAAATGTCTCTAGAATTTTTAACACTAATTAATCGTGCGATTGTAATTTCATAATACCACTTTAATTCAAAATAAATGAGGAAAAGAGATAAAAATAGATGTAAAAGTAATAAAGAAAACTATTAATCAAATCCTTAGGCAAATGAAGTATTAAAAGAATTTCATCTACAGAAATACAATTAAAAAACGAAAGACAGAAGATATAATTCAAATTTTATTAAGGCCTACAACATAGATTGAAACATTAGTAAATGTAATTAACCACTACTACAATAAATACATAGGTTGTATATGCACCTCTGACCAACTTCTTAAAAAAAATATATATATATATTGATGTGATACTGATGATTTCAAAATCATAGATCAATTCCTGAATAGCTTATGATAGATTTAAAGGAGAAATGGTAGAGTTAACACCAACTGCACTGTACAGTATTGGGAGATGATAAAGTCAGCACTGAGGTTGTATTCCTTGTTATACCTTTCAGGTACTCACTTAAGGTACTGAAAATTTCAAATCAGGGTTTCTATAGAGGAAAATCCTCTAATTGTCAGTGTGAAAAAGTTTACGCAGTCAGAATTTCTTCAGTGTAGGACATTAGTGTTTTGCCTATCAGTACAAGACTTATTCAATTTATTAATTCAATATAAATAGAAAAATAATCAATTTAACTGGATTAAAAATATAAAACATTTATGACAAGTGCTACATGAAAACATTCAACTTCACCAATGAACAACAGAGACTTAAAAATGAGTAAAAATATTCATTAAATTTAACAACTACATTAAATGATTAACGGAGAAATGAACAAATAAGTAATACTTTATTGGATACATGAATTTCCTTCACTTAGTTCAAGACAACTATTTTTGAATAAACATTGGGATAAAAAATTCGATGAAACTTTTATACCATTTCACATCCTTAAAGTACAATACTTTAATAATCACCTGAATGTATCATGGTTGTGGTCATAAGTTGCTTTAAACTTTACAAACATCAAGTATATTGTTCCATAGGAAGAAGCAAGAAATAAAATTTTCATTACACTGTTGTAGGCAGATATATAGGAAGTAAATAAATCAAGATATCTTGCCGTATATACCAGTGCAAACAAAAGTTGAGTCCTGCCAGAAATACCTAAAATACAAGAAACATTTAAGGTTTGATAAGGTAATCATTACATATACAATTCTTCTAAAGCCACTGTTCAACGCAACTATAAACAGTTTAAACAATACATAAATAGATGTGTCAAAATCTTGTATTGAGGTTTTAATGTAATCAAATAAAAAAAAAAAAAATAAACCTGAAGTTAATAAGCATCAACCGGTGTTGTGAATAATTTTTCGACAAAGTTTACTGAAAACGTACCTGCACACGACCTCGTCTTCCATATTTTTAAAAGAAGGATTATTATTGCTAAAACATGAGCTAAATCCCCTAAAAGTCGAAATATATTCATTTCGTGCGAAACTTAAAGGATCGTTTGTTGTACACAAAATGACGTGGCTTGCCAAATCGGCATGCCTTGGAACTACTGTTATTGTGATAATTGTATACGCACCATGCTAACCTAATATAATATGTATAATCAATTAATTATATCATAAAATAAATACGAATTTTTTATGCATTCAGAAATCTAATATGATTTCATATTTTTCAACAGTTACAATTAGTCTTTTTTTTATATTTCATGGCTTTTGTCAAAAGGTATAGAGATCTAGCGCTGGTCTTAATCTTTTTAATCACTTTTCTTCTTTCCTTGTAATTTTATAATCATTAATCACCGCTCTTTTTCAATATATGAATCATTGATTTTTTATTTATTTTTATTATAAGCACTACTTTAATAGAGTATGTACATGATAATTCGGGATAAATTTAAATAATGAGAGCAAATGAAAATACTTTATGTGCCCACTCACACGTTTATCTTAACATTTTAAATGCTAAGTCCGTTACACAAATTATATGATAACTGTATCTAAGCTATTTTTTTTCTTTTAAGTTTGGATTTCAGGAAATCGAAACATCTTTCAAATGGATATCTGAAATGTACGGTTAGATGTATAATTTTCGAGATATTTCAGAAATCAGGTCCTCCTTCAGAGGTAAAAATCACCGAGATCTTAAAGGTCTTCTGGATCATAAAGGTCCAATAACATCTAACTAAAAAAAAAAAAATGCACTAAAAAAGTTTGGTCAACAAGTATGTAGTTGTAGGTATTTCAAAATTTCGGTTTATGTCACAGAGCAATAATACCACAGGACAAATCACAACCGAACTCAGTCCAAAACCTTTTCTCATGATCTACCCTTTTAGAAACGAACTTATTGTTCAATGCTGTGTAAAAATTTTACCATGATCTGTGTATCATTGATATTAGTTCTCAATCCATAGAAAATTTTAAAATATTATAAGAAACTGGAGGGAAAGAAAAAAAACAAGGTCTGCTTTATGAACAGGGGAACAAAGCGTCAAAACCCTGTCTACCTTTTTCTGATTAGAGTCTCTTTTCAGTTTAATTTAGTGTGTTCATGTTTTCAAAAAATGTATCTGTTTTTACTATAATACTTTCTAATGTATTATAACAATGTCAATTTTATCTTAATATGTACCTTGAGTAAAGTCTGATAGTATTGTGCACTAGCGGATCCAGGATTTAATTTTGGGGGGTGCTTCAGCCCGAAACTTTTTTTTTCATAAAAATAACGATAATTACTTTGGAAAAACAGAAAGAAACTAACTACCTATATGAAATGGTGTTTAAGTTATTCCTTAAGTACTTTTAAATGTAATTACATACAATATTACTTCAAGAGGTATTTTTTAAAAAATTGTTCCCATAAAACATGGTTATATTTTTCCATTTTGTGGGGGGGGGGCTTCAGCCTGAAAGCCCCCTCCCCCGTAGATCCGCCCGTGGTATTTTGTTGAAAATACTTTGTATAAACTCTTTTTCAAAAGCTAAGAGAGCTTTTGTTCCCATGACAGGCTGACTATTCACTCTCTAGAAAATTCTAAGGTCAATTAAGAGAGATACATTATTCACTGTTAAAATTGTGAGGATGGCAAATAATCAGGATATCCAATCTTTATATGTTTTATTAGGCTTGCTGATGTTTCGAGCATGATGGCATGTGTGGATTTGAAGTTTTTATGAAAAGCTTGACCAGAAGTTGTGATTTTGATAATTTAAAAGAGTGATTCTCAATATGGTCGCACCAATCTTAATAACATAAAGATAGATTAGAAGAAGCTTTTATTACATGTGAAGGTAATAAAAAGAAGCACACTTCTTGTATTGTGTTTCTAACTTTTGGGAGCCTGAGATTTATCTGTTTTATATCATGAATGTTTTGTGGCGACTAGGAACTTTCTGCCACCTTCTTCAATATTTTATGTAGGGATTTGGACTCTTTTCAATACTTCAACGCCATTTACTTAAAAATAGAAAAATATCAATTAATCGTATAGATAATAATTATGTTACTAGTTGGCTCGTGTGAATTATTCGCCAAGTATATTGGTCAGTGAACAAATGGCCATATTATGGAAATGATTAAATTCAATGAATAATTAGACGGAGGAATTAATTTTTTCCAAGGTCAATTAATAATAATAAACATGTGTAAAAAGCAAATATAATTGGCTATATTTTAGCTAAAATGGTCCGGCTAAGATGATCTATTTATCGTTTCGTAGGTAATTTGGAAACCTTTTCTAATAATCACTGACAGAATCAACCATTCATTGTATAATTTTTAGTTATAATTTGATATTGTTTCCATTTCTTCACAACTTTTCTGAGGGATGAGCTCATTTTTCGTAGCTAAATATGAAGATAGTTTTTATCTATGTATCTACATCAATATTACTCAACACACAACTTAATCTACCTCTAAATCATTCCTTTGAACTGCACGTTTTTGTTTTAGTTAATCACAGGTTTAACCTATTATTTACCAAAAGCTTTGGGATATATTAAAAAAATGTTTTTAAGTGTTTTTTGGCCCCACAAAGGTAAAAAAGTAAAAAAAAAAATAGCATTATTTGTTGTAACTGAACTGAAGTATTCACGTTGAATCATCTAAATCGCAATCTCAATCAAACAAAAACATCTGTGTAAATACCGTTAGTTGAAATTGATATAATTGTCTAAACCAATTTGTGGGGGAGGGGAGAATCAAGGTACTTTCTGTCCCTCCACCATCACTACTCTCCCAATATTTTATGAAGGAGAGCCTGGCTCTCCAATATTTTGCCATAATTTACGGAAACAGTTTAATAAGCCGTAGAAGTAATTTATATATTTTATTTAAAGAAATAAACTGATTACTTGAGTTCCTTCTTTGTGTATGGCGTTCTATATTTTTCCCCTCTACAATGCATTCAACACTGTTCACTAGCGAATCCAGGATTTAATTTTGGTTGGAAGGAGGGGAGCATCAGTCCGAAAGCTTTTTTTTTCATTTATATGAAGATAATCACTTTGGAAAAAAAAGAAAGAAACTAACTACCTATATGTAACTTAAGGATTCTTTAAGTCCTGTTAAATGTAATTGCTCTAACAATAATACTTTAAAAGATATTTTTTTTCCCATAAAACATGGTATAATTCAACCACTATTACACTATTATCTTATTAAACTAAACTTTCCCTCCTCCCACCCTCAAGTTTGTCAATGGAAGAAGGGGATTTCATCTCGCAAGTTGCACCATAAAAATTATTGAGGAGGGCATAATTCAACGGGGTTTTGAATTTTCGGCAACAGCACTTATTTCCTCTGTTCGACTATGGCGAGCAACAGGGGTGCCCATTCCCCCAAAGTCGATGGCGCAAGAACTTACCCTTCCCCTCTTCCTAAGATATTTTATTGCTCCTTTTCTCTTAAAAACATAGCAGCTAAGGTAAAATTAGAAAAATCGTAGATCATATACAATTACACTTGCTGCGAAATGGCCCTTGTTTTTCCCCCTTTCCTTTAGTCCGAAAATCCATAACCCTGTCGAAATTTGCCACTCTCAAAAATTCAAAAACCTATCAAAATAAGCCCCCTCAAAAAATTTGAAGCAACTTGCGCCATCAATCACCCTTCTAGGCACCTCTGGCGAATAAAGCGAATAGAAGACAACAGTTGTATCCACTAGCGGATCCAGGATTTAATTTTGGGGGGGAGCTTCAGCCCGAAAGCTTTTTTTTCATAAAAATAACGATAATTGCTTTAGAAAAAAAGAAAGAAACTAACAAACTGTATGAAATGGTGTTTAAGTGATTCCTAAAGCCCTTTTAATATTAATCACACGAAAAATAATACTTTAAGAGATACTTTTTTTATATTTTTATCGATAAAACGTGGTTATATTTTACCATTTTGGGGGGGGGCTTCAGCCCGAAAGCCCCCCCTCTCCCCCGTAGATCCGCCCGTGGTTGTACCCACGGGCGGATCTACGGGAGGGGCTTTGCGGTTGAAGCTCCCTTCCTTCCCAAAATGGTAAAATATAACCATGTTTTATGGAAAAAAATATTGAAATGTTATCTCTTAAAGTATTATTCCTCGTGTAATTACATTTAAAAAGACTTTAGGAATCACTTTAACACCATTTCATATAGGTATTTAGTATATTTTTTTCCCAAACTAATTATCGTTATTTTTATGAAAAAAAAAAAAAAAAAAGCTTTCGGGCTGAAGCTCCTCCAAAATTAAATCTTGGATCCGCTAGTGGCTGTACCGAAAGCTACAATAATTTATTACAAAATGGATATCATACATATTGTACAGGAAAACATCTAGGTCCTGCTGTAGTCCCAACATTCACGGGCGGATCTAGGAGGGGAAGGGGGATGAATAGAGGGAGGGGCTTTCGGGCTGAAGCCTTCTCCCCTCCCTCCCCAAATGGTAAAATATAACCATATTTTATGAAAAAAAATTATCTCTAAAAGTATTATTGTTCGTCTAATTGCAGTTAATAGGACTTACAGAATAACTTAAAGATCATTTCGTGCAGGTAATTAGTTTCTTTCGTTCTTTCGAAGTAATTATCCTAATATATTTATACAAAAAAAGGAAAATTTCGGGCTGAACCCCCCCTCTCAAAATCAAATCTTGGATCCGTTAGTGCCAACATTGACATATAATAATACATTTTTCATCTTCTATAAAGTTTGTAAATCTATAAATTCGCCTATTTAAAGGCTAACATGAATGATATTGTTGAAAATATTAGCTTTTCAATTTCTATTTTATTTACACTTAATTATACTTACAAACAAAATTATTATTATACTTAATATGATCAAATATTAGTAATACAATCTATTCTGGTATAAATAAAAAAATATGTAACATTATTTATTTGTATGAAAGATCATCATTTCGTTTACTTTTTTTTCCGGGTACCGAGTAAGAACTTACTCATTATCTGGTGTTGTTAAAAAAAGTCATAATGGATTGTTATCACATCCTTCAGGCACGTTTTCAACAATGTTATTCCTAGCTCATTTCATTCTGAAACTAACTGTATTTTTAATATATTTAATACACAATGCATTTTGTTGAAAAGAAATAAAAAAATTAATTATTTTAAAATGTAGTCGAATAAATGTTTTATGGACAATTAAAAGATTGAAACCTTAAATTATGAAATTGGAGGTAGGCCCAACAAAAAGAGAAAGAAAAATTAATGATGTAGAGATGGTTGACCGTTGATATAATATGAGAAGGAGTTAGTCGAGGGTGCGGTCAAATAAATAAAAGAAAAATTGCTTGAGTTTTTAAAATATCTTTCTTTAGAGATTTTGGAAATTACAGAAAAGGTTTAAAAATATGGTTGCATTATTGTATTTACTAATCCATGTTTTAATATCATTGATATAGATAATTAATTTCATCATGACATTCGCCAAAATCCATTTTCTTTTTTTTTCATTTCTTCATGTAACGAAAAGAACCCCATTAAACTGGCAATAAATCGTAGTGTTAATGTAAGATAATATATTTTTATAAACTCGCAATAATTCTAATTGAAGTAATAATTTAACAAGGTAAAGTGACCACGAAATGGTCTTAATACTAAAGGGCATATTATTGAATTACGATGTATATAAAAATTTAAAAAAATAAGTGATATTTAAGTTTTTTATTGTAACTTTAAAAAAATAAATTTATTAGTTAATTAACTACTTTAACATAGGTGTGAATGTGTTTTATTTATTTTGTTATTATTCGTCTAATCTGTTATTTTAATTATCTTGTGTATTACTTTATCTTTATATTTATATATATATATATATATATATATATATATATATTTTTAGTACCAATGCCCTTCAGTGTGGCAGAATGTATTAATACTCAATAAAAAAAAATTAACTACTAACAGATTAGTTAACAGACATTTCTGAAAGTACATTAAGTATAAAAATTCTTTCTTTATTTTTTTGAGTCCTAATTTCTTAATTATTAGTTAATTACCTTTTTAAAATTAAAGAAATTTTTATTGCTTATTTATTTATTTTTTTTATATCGTATATGGTTGGTACGATTGGTACTTTTGACCGGGCTGGTGGATTCGAAGAAACGGTAATGAAATTACTTTCAAGACAATTAGATTTCCCCAGTCAAATATCGTTCTGTTCAGTCAATTGTGTCGAATTCTTGAGTGTATAAAGTGTTTAGGAATTCGGTGTGTTTCTTAGTTTTAATACGTTGTAAATTATATCGAGTTTAATCTTCAAATATTTGATTGCGGACTCATGATGGGGGATCGGTAATGCATCCAAAATTCCTTTTTTACCGTCAAATCCTTTTTCACTATTTGTAAATTAAACTGTATGTAACCCGAATTAACCTTATATTTCAAAAACATTTGGATTCATAATTATTTCCTTAGATTCAAATATTTATTAGAATTTGAATTATGTTTTATGTATTCATATTAATATTACATAATACATAATTTATTATTAGTTCTTTCTAGAGAGTCATCTACCCATGAAAGTTTCATAGCTTTTTCATAATAAATATAAAAATGTAGACTGTGTTGTACACAAAACATAGCTACATTATATGAATTTAAAATGATATCTAGTGAATATAATTGTCTAATATGATTGTAAAAACAGAATTGTTGTTTAATCAAATCTGATTTTCTTTTTCTTGTTTACTAGTGATTTTACTTGCTGCTTTGAAGTGATGAAATCATAATTCCCAATTGTAGAAGGAACATCACACTGATTTGTCTGCTTTATTAAAATAAATACCTTTATACTATACACAACTTTGTCTGGTATCATTTTGCACTATAGATTGCTGTATTTTAACACTAAAGAGCTATAATTTTCTTTCTAAACATTCATTCACATAATTAAAGACCATTCTGCAACTTTAACTTGTCAGATTTGTACAATATTTCATTTCATTTTTGTTTGTCCAATTACAGGTTTTCGACACTATCATTATTTCCCATAGATATACACTACAGACATAAGTATACATAAAAAACTTTGTATGGTAACTGGTTATTCCTGAAGTTTTAATTTTTTTATTCATATTTTTTCATTTCAACCCCATATTTTTAATCGATTTTATGTATTTTGAATATAGAGAGATCTTAATAATTTCATTTTATTTAGAACAAAATAATAGTTTGTTTTATAAAGCTGTGGAGTTTGATAGTGTTGTATAAAAATTCCTGTTACAAGGAATAATGGAGGGAGGGATATTTGTTTAGTTGCTTGAGGAACACCATTAAATATCTTTGTGAAACAAAATTTGTAGTTTTTAAATTAAAATGTAACATTATTTATTTATTTGTTATTGAATTTATTAGATGTTGAATAGAGTCGTTTCTCTCCAAATATGTCTCTAAAACTGAAGTGATATGAGATGGAGGATGCAACCAGAGCAGGGTTAAAGAAACACTTTAATTAGACACTATACATCCTTAGATATTCCTAACTCACCCTACCTATGTCATATGTGTTACCGTCTCACATTTCAGTTATACTCAACGCACTCAAAAATAAGGTAAGACTTATTCCTTTGTATGAATATTAATATATATTTTTTTCAGAGTTCATTAAATCTCTTAAATAAGGGACTATCCAACTTAATTTGAAATATTTGTTCTACACATTTATCTTTTCTTAAAAATTATAACACAGATGATTTTTTTTTTTAACATGTATTAGAGCCGATATCTAAATCTTTATTATATAAGAATCCAGTTATCCTAGTTTGGATTTCATTTTTTAGAAGCTTGTGATAGTTAAAATATTTATGTTTATAATAAAAAGGAACTATGTTCTTCATATTCTGAAACACGGGCAATGATGAAGGTCAGTGAAAGAAATTTTGTTATAGAAAAATACTATATAAATAGTATGAGATTGGGTGGATGTCGTGTAGTGATATGATATTTGATTTACTTTTCTCTTCAGTCCTAATGATGCCTGAATAGGCGGAACGTTGACAGGTTTTTTTATTCTTTATCTACATTTTAAAGATATATTAGACTATGTGGTTAAAATTTTTCCAATTATAACCTAACCGAAATAAATATTAACATTTAAAAATAAAGTAAGATGTGATATGAGATTGAGACAAGAAAGATCTGAGACATGATACTCAAAAATATTTGACTAGCTTGTAAAGATCTAGTTTGCGTTTTTTGTTTATATGTAAAAAAGATAATATTTTAGTCATTTATTAAGATTACACCTCAGTATACAGGATGTTCCATAAGTAGAGAGAAATTTTTATAGGAGTGATATCAGAACTCAAGAGCTGCAAAACAGTTTATATAAACAATGGCCCGATTTCCAGCAGGAAATTAAAGTTTTGTGTTTTTTTAAGCATGTCACATTATTTGTCGAATAGGAAGGGATACCAACAACAATTTAATTGAAGTAAATTTTGTCTAGTTCACAGAAAATAATTTTTAACTACTTTAATTAAATATCTGTTTATTCCCACTTCCTATCAAACAAAAACCGTGACTTACTTAAAAAAAAAAACACAAAACTTTAATTTCCTAATTTCCTGCTGGAAATCAGGCTATTGCTAATATAAATAGCAAAACTGTTTTATAGACCTTGAGGCCAACTATCATCCTGTACACTAGCGGATCCAGGATTTAATTTTGGGGGGGGCTTCAGCCCGAAACCTTTTTTTTCATAAAAATAACGATAATTACTTTGGAAAAACAGAAAGAAACTAACTTTCTATATGAAATGGTGTTTAAGTTATTCCTTAAGTACTTTTAAATGTAATTACACGAACAATAATACTTTAAGAGGTATTTTTAAATCTTTTTTTCCCATAAAACATGGTTATATTTTTCCATTTTGGGGGGGCCTCAGCCCGAAAGCTCCCTCCCCCCCATAGATCCACCCGTGCTCCTGTACATACTTCCCTCTACTTTAGGGACCCCCTGTATAAGTTCATCATTAATCATTTCTTGAGCTTATCCATCTCTGAGCCAACAATTGTTTATAATCGAGCTTGCCCCATCAAGAACCACTTATAAGGATGAATAATGACCAGCAATGTTTAATGTTTGCATATTACAATGTTTTTATTATTGTTATGTTTATAATATATATATATATATATATATATATATATTGTGTAACATAACTCTTATATTTTACAAATAATAATAATACCTCAGAAGATCACTTTATTCCATTGGGATACTTCCTAAATAAATAAGAGGTTATTTAATAATAAACACAATTATAAGATAATCAATATATTTATTTATCTCAGGCGTGGGTTACTGACAATCAGATAAACTCAGACAAACTATTATTATTTACACTATTTATCCTAAAATTAAACACTGATTGATTTTAAAATAATATGGATTGGCAAGCTAACCTTTTTTATATAAAAAAAAGCTTCTTCCTTTGTATTGTAGCACTGAATTCATTTGTTTTCAAACACTTTCCAAAGTTCTGCTAAACACAACTTCCAAATTGGTGATAATTTCTTCTACTCTTCAAACTTACTGGGAAATCTTCTCTCTTATGATTCCAAATAACTAGTCTCTCTGCCAATAACAACTTCCAAGGTGGTAATACTAATACTGGGTTTTACCCATTGGAGCCAGGATCACTTCTCCCATCCTCTCTTCACTCCAGCCAAACATCAACTGCTGCCATAACAAAAATCTTTGTCCCTCTCCTGTTTGGGATTTTCCTTCTTGAGAAACTACAGAGCAGCCATTTTCTTTTCTCTGCACTAGTAGAACTAGATTAGCTTGCCTTTTAATTGGTCAACATTAATTTATTAAATCATTTCTACCCACTTCCAATAAAGGTGTATATTACAATATATCTGTTATCTCATATGTATGTTTCACCTTTTTCTAATTTTGTACTTATCATTTTTCTGATATTATTTTATATTTTTTAAAATTTGTAGCCCTGATGATGTTTGGGTCGAAATGTTGACAAATTCAATAAAGAAATGTTTGACAGACAGTTCTTTAAACAAAAATTTTAAGATAACTTTCTTATTACCTAAATTCGACAAACATTGATTTGAATTTTTTTATACTGATCATATCCCAGATACCTAATCTGTTTAGGATGAAAACAATTTAATGATAATCACCCAGTTATTTCAGTTTTCAGTGTTACTTTTAGGGATTGATTATTATAAAATGTATTATTTCAAATCGTGGAGATAATTAACAGCTTGAGAAAATTTATGTCTACCTTTTGAGAGAAAAGAAGGCTTTAATAGAAACTGTTATTGATTAAATATGTGTACACATATAAATATTTTCTTTGAGACATTTTGGTTTATTTAAAGACTTAGTTTTTAAATACTTATTTTATATTACTATTATGAATAAATATTACATTTTTGATCAGATAAAGTTGTGACAAGATTTAATTTGAATATTAAAAAAAAATTAATATAAATAGTTACATTTCTTCGGTTCACAAATTTATAGACTGAGCTACAATATTGAATCACCAACACTAATATGTTCAGGGCCCTCACATCCGTAAACTAAGTTTCTAACCAGGATACTAGTCCAGGCCCCTTTCCATAAGACAGATAAATTTTAATAAATTAAAAACATATATCTATTTATAGTTGTGTGTTATATACCACGGTATTTTATTAGGTGTCCTATATGAATATCTAATGATATTTTATATTCAAATTTTTGAGGACTTTTAAAAATTATATTATAAAATCCTATTATTTTTACTGGACCCATTAAATCCCTTGGTCACTGTGATGAGTGGCAACTCCTCCAATATGGAGTCCCTGTTCATAGTGAATAATTTACAATTCTGTAATGAATAACTTCTTTGAGTCAGTATATATATGTATGTTAGTTAAAATATATATATAATATAATAAAAGAATTTATTTCAGATAAGTTTCTACACAACAAATTAGAAATAAAATTTTAATGTAAAAAAAAATGTATAAAAAAATCACAGCCAATATCTTACAATATGTAAGTACTAAATTATTTACAACTGTTGTGAAAATTACAACAAAATTAATCATACTTTTCAGTATTTACTTTTTTTTATTATTTATTTTCTTAATATCTTTCACTTTCACTGGATTGTGTCGATTGTGTATCTGTATTGAAGCTTCTGTTTAAAGATGAATATGAACTGTCCCTTCCAAGTATATATATAGAACTCGATGAAGTTGCTGTTCTTTTCAAAAGTGGTGTTTCTAATAAAGAATGCTGTGTGATAAATTTTGGTGGAACATTTCGAAATACAGGGAGCTCTTCTTTTTTACCTATTTAAAAAAAAAAATCTTAAATTAATATTTCGTGATCAAGATCATAGTATTTATTATGGAAATATAAGTTAGTTATGCCAATCTATAGATTCCCAATAATTTGTTTTCCAGATAACACATATCAGTATATTGCTAAAAGTAGACTTTCGATGGATCTAATTTTTTTAATACATATATATCCATCGTGTTCATTGATAAACATGGTGGATATATATTATATTATTCATATATATTCAATTTTAATATCAATCTAACCAAAAAGTTTAAACGTAAGTAGGTATAAAGATTTTTATTGCAATTTATTCATTGTTTTAATCAAAATTTTGCTATCCATCAAGCAAATTTTGCTATTACTTTATTTTTTTGAGCTAGTAAAGATTTAAAGATAATAAAATTGATTCTTGGAATGAATATCATGTAGCAATGTAATAAAAACTAAACCTTAAATGTAGTGAACATGCATTTTCTCTAATTTATTTGATTGGGTGTTTAGAAATGTTCAATAGATATATTGATGGGTCAGTTAAAAACTGAAACAACTCAAAAGTCAAGGTTGTACGATAAAAAAGCTCAATCGTATTGAACAAACTTAAAAAAATTAAATGAAATATTCCATAGTGAAACAACAACTTTTACACTAATGCTGTAGGCATTTTGAAATGGTGCAGTTTTGTACCAAGATCTATAAAATTAAAATAGATAATAACAATTAAAAAAATATAAATATTAAATTAGTTATTGTATATATTATTGCATTGTAAAAATTAAATTAGGTCGTTTTATAGACCTTGTTTATACAAAACCAGGCATAATATGAAGAGATTACAGGTTATAGGTATCAGAAGAAAACGGAAAACTATAATTTTTGAGTTGCTTTAGTTTTGAACTGAAATCAATATCAAAAGCTTAAAAAGAAATTATAATGTGGAAAAAAGTTAATATAACTAAATATTTAATTTTTTTTTCATTTGAATAAAATTAACGGTTGTGCCAAATTGCCACATTGAGCCTTGGGATCTATTTTTGCCTTTCAACCTATGTTCTTACAGTAAAAAATTGTATACGTGCTTCAGAATTTAATTTTAAGTTTTAAGACAAAGCTGTGCTTATACAGCAAAAGGCAAACAAGTAGTTGTAATATCCTTATTTGTAAAATTGAGATTATTGATTGCTATATGATAAATAAAGTATAATTAAATTAAAGAAATACCTTTTGGAAGTAACAGAAATATGGCATATGATGATGTTTGTATGACTTCAGGATAAAATATTAATGCTTCTAAGCTACCTTCCTGAAGATATAAAATGATCCAATGGATTACAAAAAATACACGATAGAGTGTCATCAGCATGATATAATATGTAACGGTATCATCTTTTTGCTGCTTTACAATATAAAAGTATATTTGTGGTATGATTGAAAGTGATTCAGCAAAATGGCTAAATAGCCTAGATATCTGTAAATTACAAATTCACATATAAAATATTATAATTATGTTCTAAATAAATATTTAAGGAAATGTTGATTAATTTCGGACCACTCAAATGTTATGTTAGTTACAGTAAAGTATCAACTTACTTTGAAAGGAACACTTAGTTATTTGTATAGGTATATAGAATACATTTCAAACAATATCCCCACTCTCCTAGACTCCCACCTCGTGAATCTATAGTTTGGCCACCCCAATAATTTTCATAAGTCGGCGCCTATGATTTTGAGCTCATTACAACTTTCTGTCAGATTCTAATCTTGTTTGCACTTTAATGGTAGTAAATTTTATTTATCAACTTATTGAAGTAAGCCGTTTGTTGTTACACAATTTTTCTGATATTCTCTGACAATATTTTCCTAAATTAAAATTATTTTAAACTCAATATATCATTTTTTTTTTATTTGTTCAAAAATGAAATTACATGAACATTTTCTTTTTTTTTTCAAAGCCTCATAGTTTTGTTTAATGAAGAGGTTATGGAAAAAAATATGAGATATGGTTTCTATTCACACATAGTACATTGTAAGAGATGTCTGTTTATAGTGGTAACGTTTGCGAGTTAAATTTGTTAACATATAAGCCAACTCTGTGGCTTTTCTGTCAGCATTAAGGTCTTAATAAGTGGCTTTATCAGTTGTAGCAAAAACTATCAATGATCTTAATATTTCTTCTAATGATAGTTTATTCATCCGCTTTATATAAATGGACTATATTACTAAACTAAATTTTGACGAAGTTTATAACGGAATTCCAAACAGCCTTAAATTATTTTCATAGATTACTAGGGGCTAACGGGGCTTGAGTTCCCCCCCCCCCTCTTCCCCTCCCAATGCTGCTGTAGTGGATACTCAGCTTCTCCTACAAATTGCTATAGTATGAATTTTATGAACATATTGATGGTATACAAAATTTGTATACTAGTAGTAGTAGTCAAAAATAGTAGTCAAAATATTTTGTGTGACTTAACAATTTTTCCCATTAGGAAGGGCTTGCCTACCTGCCTGTCTGTCCCACTAACAACCCCGTGAAGGGTCTTGGGTTCAGTACAATGTGAGGAAGTACTGTTACATGGCCAACGATTGTGCAGGGAGGTGACAGGCCAATATCATGCTCATCCACCAGGTTTTACCCCTTAATTAATTATTTAATTAAGAGTACCCCCTTTTTAGAGTCTGGAGTTTAACCTAGGACTATCTCCTGGCCCTAGGGTGGATCCACGACTGATGAAAACTTACTATTCATTGGCCGGATTCAAACCTGGAACCTTGAGCTCTGGAAGTCAGTGCTCACCCACTGAGCTATCCCGCTTCTCAGGAAGGGCTTGAAGCAACTTAATACTTTCATTAGATGGTAATTTTTCTTGTAGGCATATAGAATACATTCCAAACAATATCCCTACCCTCCTAGGCCCACACCTCGTGGTCCTATAGTTTGGCCACCCCAGTAATTCTCATAAATCGACATCTATGATTATTTTTAAACTCTTTTTCAAATAAGAGGTATGATAAACGTTTTTAGTTTGTTTTAGAAACCTTTTTTTTTTTTTTTTTTTCTTCAGATATTTATAGATTTCATAAATTACTCAATATACTAAGTGGTGCGAAATAAGCAACATAGTACCCTCTTATATATTTTAGATATTTGAAACTCACTTGTTCTGGTGTCGGACTACCATCTTCTATAAATAAGCAGAAAGAAAGAGTAATGCTTGTTAAAATTATAGATTCAATCCTATAAATTAAAGAACATTATATTAGATAAGTCAATAGTTGATGCTAAAGTAATTAGTGGGAAGAATATTTACCAGAATGAATCACATCTCTTCTCATATGTTTTTCTGTACTTAATGAATATTATAAATGTCACATAAAGTGAGAGACAAATAAAAACAAAATTCCTTATTGAATAGTAAATCGAATAGAAGCAGACAAAATCCCAATAGCGCGTTAAGGCAGCTGCTGTCAGCAACACTTGCATCTTTCCCGAGATCCCTGAAAAATAAAATAATTTTTATGAATTTTTTATTGTATTATATTTTAACAGAGAGGCAGAGGTTATTAAAAATAAATAATTATAAAAATAAAAAAACATGTATTACTACAAAACTGCATTTAATATGACCTATTATGCTTTAAATATTTGTTTATAAAATATTTTAAGGAAGTATTAACCAAATTTAATTATCGTATTGCATTGACTCAAAATATAAAAATTCATAAGATGATGTGTTGTTGTATACTTGTGATTTTTGTATATTAATTAATAATGTTATGAATGAAGTATTTATGTTTTTCAAGTATTCGCTAATTTAAATATACAATTAAACAAGTATTCATAGTATTTTTCTTTATATTTTCTTAGAGGGTCAGCTAACGAAATATGTTAAATGATTGCCCAAAATAATAACCTTCATAAAGTTTAATTTTACAAGTTGAAGACAATTTGGGTACAGTACAATATTACATACATACATTATTATTAAATACTTAAGTTCTTGAACTACCATTGTAATTATTTGGCAAGGGTAAAATTTTCTCATTGGTAATAAACAGACTAAAATTAAAACAAATAATGCAAGGAAGATGATAAAATCTATTTGACATTTATGCTATACAAGATACCTTTTTAGAAGACTTAAGTTATTGGGTTGAAAGTCCGCATTATTTATTGTCCTAAACACTCATTACGCATTGTATGAATGATGCTTTAATTAAAAATTAACTAGACTAGTCCTTGGTTATCATTTATCGATATGTCTTGATTATTCATTAAAAGTAATAATGAACACTTAATATCATGGTGGCATTTAGTTCCAAGAAAATGGTGAGGGAAATACTTCAAGTGTCTGAGATATATCAAAGATTGGATGAATTCAATCTCTTAGAGCTTAAAGGGAATACCTTGATGCTCGTTCCTTGATTAGAATGAGTCTTGGAGGAAAAGAAATTAAAAAATTGGAAGAATATTGGATTCCTTACATTGTTTGGAGTGGAAGTTACATTGTTTGGACATAATGCCCTAGGATTAGTGGATGAGGACCAGATGTATTAAATAAATTAATTCAATCTATTCAAGATTTTCAAGATAATCCGAATGCTCATTAGGTGACAATGCATTATTCCTATAGGAATGCCATGATTTTTATGGCACTGTTTATATCCCAATAATTCTCAAGAGTTATATTAATCTAATAGTTCTCGAGAGTTATATTAATCTACACAATGAAAAATGTGTATACTATAAATATAATGAAAGAATGGTATATAAACTTTTTTTCATTTTATTGAAAAAATAAGTGATTGAAATTATACTTTAGATTTTGTTGGAAAGTTACCAATTCCATCTTCCTAACTATCAACATATTTTCATGATATGTTTCATATTGTTGGACTAGTATTATTTATAAACTGAAGATAGTTCTAAATCGTTACCTGTCAGTAAAAAATAGAGCAACGGAGGTGGAGCTGTAGTTAGAGACTTTGAAATCATCTTTATTCCAAGCACTGTTGCTCCGTTTCATAGTTCTATATTTAGTTTTGAGTGATTGTAAGATTTGTTACCTTTACAATGTATGATAGATATTAAACAGTAAAAAAGTAAAAATAAAATAATGTAAATAAGTATAATGTTTTCTGTTTGTGTGAATAAGGTAAGTGTTTTAATATAACTAAAAACAATGGAGGAAAGATAATGGAGAAGATTATATAGCATTTTTTGTTATCTTTTTAAACATATACTTCATTCATTAAGATTATGTATCATTTAATTAATTTTTGATTGGTTAACTAGTTGTTTTTTCATAATTAATATTTAATTTGATTAGAATTATGTTCAAATTTTTACTTATATTTTTCTAATATTAATCTGTTCTTCTTTACTATTTAAATAATGATGATAATAAGAAATATTCAGATGTTAAGAAAAAGATAATTTTAATAATAACTATTTAAACTTTGTGTTTTCTAGATACCATAAATATTTTATTCTAGAGAAAGTTACTTTAAAAAAGTTGTAATAGATTACTTTTATTTTTGTTAAATTTATTATTAAAGCATTCTTACAAATACAAAAATTAGCTCATTTATTCACTGGAATTATTAACTATTTTTTTAAATTGTAGTATTAAAAATGCTCAAGATGTTATATACTAGAAAAAAAAATTAAGGAAATTTTCATAATCAGAAGGAAAACTTGGTAGTTGGGAGAGAGATGTCCACAAATTATCTTAATTACTGAAATAAGTTGAGAGAATAGAAAATAATTGTTTTTCACTTTAATTTGCAGAATATTTTGTTGGTAGGATCACTTACTTAATAGAGCTCACTAAGAACTTATTGTCCCATTCTTTAAATAAGTTTTCACATTTGTAAATATCTTTCTTGTAAGAATCTTTATTTCTATAGTTTTGAAGCTTTCCTAGTTTTGATTTCGGTATTCTTCTGAATTAAATTAATAATTATTTTTCGATTTTTTTTAAGGCACGCCTGTTTCCTTTTCCGGTTTTAACATTTTCGTGTCACTCACTCCAGACTCGTTCGAGCCGAGCACCGATCACGAACGTACACACGACACTGCCTCCACCTAATATTGGCTGTGGTTACTCACCGACACAGGATTGCCTCTTTTCTATCCTGAAGATGAGGAAGAGGCAGGAGGCCAGGTGGGCCGCATCGCCGAGGAAGGATGGGACGCTCATGGTAGACTGGCCTCACTGTGCCGGAGGGTGGGGCTGCAGTCTTCTGTTTATAGCCTTCTTATCAGTCGGCAGAATTCTTATATCTCCGTGATTAGTCCTGATAGTTTAAGTGTCTTGTCTCCCAGCCGATTATAATAAAACATTGACATTATTGTTGCATGGTTTTTTCGAGCCATCATGAGGATCATGGATTGTAGATTGTTGTACAATAGAGTTACAGCATAGACGCAGACTTTGGGAGAGGGGGGGGGCCGTCGCCTCTTAGTCTTTCGTTCCCCCAATATTTCAAAGAAAAAACAATCGAAATCAATATCAATTAATCTACATGAATAATAAAAAAAAAAAAGGTAATATATAACTAAAATTTGTTAGAAAAATATGAAAAGTCGACTAGATGGCTAAGCTAAGGCCTAGAAGTAACTACGCAAGTATTTTACTACGCCCTATGTTCCTATCCTTGTCTATCGTCCCAACAACTAGAATGGAAAATCTGCGCCTACGCATTACATATCTAGCTTTATGTGCTTTGAATTATATTCATAATCATGTTTGTTGTTATATTCATAACTATATTCGTTGAACTAAAATCATGTTTTTATATATGTAACCATCCGTAAACATATATAATACATTTAAAATTTACAGCAACTAGTTTGCCCGTGCGAAAAATTCGCAGAAAATTTTGTTTAGTCAATAAATAGCAAGAAAATATGGAAATAAGTACTTCCTATGTATTATGTAAGGAAGGAATTGATATTTTTTCCTTGGTCGATTGCAATATTCCATTAACCATAACAGACCAAAATATTTGTACAAATTGCTTTGCTAGGACCTATTTTTAAACGCTGACTGGAAAGATAATAAAAGTAATAAAGACAAAATAATGTCCCGATCATGGGATATTCTAAATTATTAAAAAGAATAAAATGTAAGAACAACCAAATGTCTTCCCTTGAGAATTTTCAAGATCTATTGGTCAAAATGAAAAACAAAACAAGATAGAAAGACAATAGATTGCTTTTCTTCATATTACCTGGCTGTGTATTTACGTAGTTATTTACCAGTATTAGATCTCAAGAGATTTGTTGACCCCATGGCTAAGACATTGATTGTAATATTTTGGGACCAGCTTCGAATATGGAAATAGTAAAAAATTTGTTTTTCATTCGGGCAGTTGTGGGCAAATTTTAGGTCGTGGGAGGGCCCAACTAGGTAGGAGGTTGCAACCCCGGGGTACCCGTTCCAAAGTTTTTCCGACCTTGCCTACAAGGTTTTATTTTTTAAATTCTATTTATATTTAGTAATATTTGTTTTTGCATATTTTACAGAAGGATTCAGTTGGATTTTAGTGATAAATTTAACATATGATGAAGGTCCGTGGAAATTATTCCCAGGGGCCCTGAGAAAATTATCCCTGGGGCCTTCGGTTTCTCTCCAAGGACCTGGTCGGGGGTAGGGTTAACAGCTATTGGAATATTACCGGTTAACGGTTACTCAGTTTTTTTTTACCCTCGGTTTAACCGGCTGTTTATAACCGCTCAAAATAACTGTTTTTCGATTACTTTTTATACGAAGGCCAAATTTTCTTACTCGGTAGAAACAATTAAATAAATGGCGTACCAGTTTTTTAATAAAGAAGTTTTCTCACAAAACATAACATTTTTAATTAATTTCATCCATCTACTTTTATTTACAATTATTATTCAATTTAAACATGTTTTCTAATTGTATATTTTTATTTAAAATATTATTTAAAATTACTTAGGTAAATTATTTATTTCACCAACTAATACAATAATTGTTTAATTTAAAACCATGCTCTTATAACGCCTGTACACAAATACCGACGAGCTACGGGTGGTGAATCGAGGCTTGGATTTGGTGGTTTGGATGATCGAAAAAAAAAAAAACACTGCCTGTTTATTACTAATATTTATTAATAATTTATTACTATTTATTATTATTTTTTTTAAATTTATCTTACATACTTCTTGATTATTATTTAGTTGTTTCTTTATTTTTGTTTTATTTTTTCTGTAAATATGTCGTGGATGTACTTTTTCCTCCCTGTAACCACCACTATTCATATTGTGATAGATATCATATAATTCAATAAAACGAAAACAAAAAATTATTCAGACATTATTTTTTTTCAAGACTGGTTATTTTTGTCCTGTATTAAGGATAGAAGTAATAAATATATTTTTAGTCAATTTCAAGTTTAATATTTACTTAGAGGGGATAACTTAACGATGATATCAGTTTTAAATAGAATGAGATTTTGCAAAAAATATATACGATTTTTGTGGTAAATTATTAGGACGGGGCGACTATTTGCAATGGAAGACTGAATAACATGGAAGTTATCTATGGGTAAATTTAATAAAACTGAGGCCTAATATTCATTTTCGGGCTGAATTGGAAAAATTTCACAAAGATATGAAATTTGTAACGCAAACGGGGTAAAAATTATCCGCAATTATCATAGGACGAAAAATTCTCGTTTCGTTTTTTTAACATTATTCCAGATAGAATATCTTAAAGAAAAAAAATAGAAATCTTTCATTGCTTATATCGAAATATACGATAGCGATAAACACAAAGAGAAAGAAATTATTTTAAGTAATCTGCTTAATTAAGACAAGAATTCAAGTGATTTGTTAAACATTTTTCACCACATGAAACTTGATGTACACCTAATAAAACCTAGTGTGAAATGGATAATAAATAATCACATGATTGTTTGAATTGATTTGATTTGAAATAAAGGATATAGTCGTGGAGTCAGGTACGATGTAGGCATGGTAGTGTTGTTATCATGGTGTATACGTTAGTGATTGCTGTTTTTAGTGATGTAAGTCCTATACACTCTCACAATACACAGGGTCCTAAGCTGAAATATGAGCTTTTAGGAGGCAAATAATTCTGAAGTGATTCTTGCTATGAGCTGTTTCTACTATCATAGTTTGATACTATAACCACTGTTAATCCCTCTCTCCTCACCATGTCTCTTACTTGTAAATGGTTCTGTAACGTGAAGAGTCTAATGCCCGAAAGTGAACTAATCATTTATTAATTATTAATTTCTTTTTCGCTCCAATATCTTTAAATAGTTTCGTCGGATTCTACTGCCAGGGCTTAAATATCGAATTTCCAAAATGGCTTCCTCTGAAGTACCTTTGATTTGTGCTCTTGTTGACCGTAGATGAAATTGTAAGATAAGTTGGTCGGTGGGGTCCGCATTTGACCACAGTATTTGACCGCACCGTCGACCAACTTCTCCAACTACTACCTTTGATTTGGTTTATTTGATGCAATTAAATGTTTCTCGTTACTAGTAGTGAAACAGTTAATTATAAACTATGAAGGAATTAGATAAATAACTTAGGAAGAAAACAAAATGCTTTTCTTGGTTGGAAACAAATTTCTATTGTTTTCAAGGGAAAATATAAATTGGAAAGCTAAGATTATTGGAAAAATAAAGTCTAACATATAAAGTACGTTATGGAAACTGAGGAAATCTAATGATTAATAATTTAAACTTTTATATTTTTTAATGTAAAAAAAAAAAGGGAAGGCCCAGGAAGACCTGGGAGGTTAATGCCAAGGAGGCCTTTGACGGAAGTGATCTTGACTGGAGGAGGAGGCGGCAGTTGGTTCAGGATCGAGAGTTGTGGATTCGGCTCTACAAGAAGGCTCCTCACACCGCTCCGCGGTAGAAGAGGAAATGATTAAGAAGAAGAGATATTTTTTAATAAAAACTAATTTTTTCCGTATTAACTAACTAGAATTTTCGCCGAGACTAAATGTATATTTTAAATATTTATTCTTGAAAAAAAAAAAAAAAATGCTTATAACCCAAATAACTGAATCATTTCAATTATTTTATTGTACTATTATGAGAAATGAGAAGAAATACTAGCTGCTGGTTATGGTTTCGTGGGAAAAAAACATAGGTAATAACCGTTAATAACTTTAGTTCCGATAATAGATGTAAATAAATAAATATCAACTAGCCATACTTGACCATAGGTTAATGTCAGACCAGTTGTTCCAACTCAATAAAGCTTACATTAAGTGTTATCTTAGGTTAAACCAAGTTTAAGAAGAAATACTTGCTGCTGGATACGTTTTCGAGAGAAAAACATAGGTAATAACCGTTAATAACTTTAGTTCCCTTAATAGATTTAAATAACTAAATATCGACTAACCATACTTGAGCAGAAGTTAATTTAGGGCCAGTTGATCCAATTCAGTAAAGCTTAGATAAAGCGTTATCTAAAATTAAACCAAGTTTAATCTTGATCGGCCGGCCTTAGAAAACTTGGTTTAATCTTAGATAACGCTTAATCTAAGCTCTACTGAGTTGGAGCAAGTGACCCTTTTAATCAAAGTAGGATAGTGAGTGACAGTTGTGTAATGCGTGCTCCAGATTTTCAAAAATTGAATTTAACATCTGCCGACCGCCGCACATTGAGCTGACCTAGAAAATGTAGTAGGACTAAAATCAAAATATCGATATTTTTGATGGTGAATATTGTGGAAAATTATATAAAAGGTATGTTTGTGTACTCAGTCCATTTTAACTTAGCTAACGTTCAACTACTATTTGTAATTATTGAGCTAAACCAGTTAACTGATTTAATTTTCTCAGTTATGTATTTCAATTCGCAAGATAATTGCTTTACAATATTAATATTAATACCATAAAAGTTTTCTATTTTTCTGAGAATAGATTAATTTATTCTTCTCTTAAATCTGAGAAAGAAAACAATAGAAGTATTATTTCAAAATGTTGTAATTTACGTGGAACCTCAATATTTAACTAATTATAATTGCAACAACTAACATAGTTTAGCTATTTAATACTTTTGGATCTTGGTTTCGCCGGCTTTGGAAATAATTAAATTTTAAATATTTCGATTGCGAAAATTGTGATGATATGAATCACTAAAACGATAAAAAATGTTAATGGACCCAAAAAATTCTAAAATCGTTGTAAGTTTTTGATTAACTTACAATGCACAATACTT